TTGTTTAGATCATTATCCATATTTCACTCACGCTTTAAACTGCCTTTCGTGAAACACATAAAAATGCTCGGAAAACATAAAATTGAATGAATGAAAAAGTTTGAAGCTGTTGTTGTTCTCGGTCATCGTTGAACGAGATTCGAAATGAAAATCATTTTCAAAATTGGATCATTAAATTTACATAAAGTGATTGTTTTCTCGGAGCTTTTAATTTATCTCGGCGCTTATCGTAACGATTAAATCTCAGTTTGTAATCGGTGATTACGTCGTTGAGAGTGAAAGAATGTCAACGGTAAAGGCAAGAGTCCTCAAGAAACGCAAACGACACTTCCTTGACATCGTCGGCATTAAAATTTATACTCAACTCCAACTCCCCCATCATGAGCGATCTGATAAATTTTCCTCCATCTTTATTTCCACTCACAATGTCAATAAATCCTTCTTAGATGTGTTCATGGAAATGGAAAAGTTTCACTGAAATCTCAGCGTCGTCATTCTCGATGTTTTAAGCCTCCGTAAACGGCCCATTAATATTCTAATTGTAACGCGTTTGACAGTTTGGTGATAAAGTCAAATTTACGAGCATCAAAGCGAGCGAAATTCTTTCTTCACTTCTTCTCGTCTTCTCGCTTTCTTCTCTTCTTCCTTCCCTCGTCTCTTTGCTTGTCTGTTTGCACAACACTTCACCATTGTATTTAATCACATACATTTTACTTCCACACGACGAGAAAGAAAACTGGAAGACTGAACATTGAATACGAACAAGCAAGTATGAGAGCAAGCATAAGTAATGATGCGAAAGCATTTCTTCAACCACCACTCCAAGCACATAAATTGTTGACTTTGAAGGCAAGCAAAGAAAGTTTTCGCCATTTTCTCAACAAACATCTTTTGCTGCTGCTTCTCATTGCTCTGTTTATTCTGATGTCACTTAAACGTCACTGATTAGCACAATACGACATCGCTTGTTAGCAACGAATTCTTTTCGAGGCCATTTCAATGTTTCAAGAAGAAAAGGCAATGGCGTGGTGTGGGTGGATAAGAAAACATTTGAATTATGTTTGACTTGTGAGGGATCATTAAAGGAGACGAGAGAGAAGGAATAAGAAAAGAAAATCCCAAGGATGTTTTGTTTACTTCATAAATCTCTTTAACTCATCTTCATGTGGTTGTGTGGCAATGGAAACTGTTAAGAAGGCAAATAAAACAATTCTCGATTGAATTATGACAGTAAAATTTATCTTACAAGACGTTCGCTGCTTTTCTTTGCTGACAATTTCTGCATGAATTCCACAATTCTCACAACCAAAAGCTGTCGTTGTGTCTTTGATTTATTTGTTTTGCCTTTCGATGTAAATATCATTTTTTCAAATCGAGGCTCGTTTCATACTGACGACCATCGCTCTTCATTTAAGCAGAAGAATTAGCAGATGGGTCGGAGTTTTATATTCACAGTCGAGTGTTGTTCATACACAAATAGTTTTATTTTGTCTTACATATTTATTCAGACTTCTCAGCAGTTTGTTGTTTGTAGTCACTCAAAGGATGAGAGAAAAGATGTTGTTGGATTTGTATTTTAATCATGCCCGAAACTAGTTCATATATCATCATTCTTAAAACAAAACATTCTTCTCCTTAGACGAATGAAGGGAAGATTGAGAACGACGACATGTTTTGCTTGCTGTTCCAAAGACTTTCAGTTATAGCGACGCCTTCATATCCATAACTCATCTCGTTTATCATGCTTTAGGGATGGAGATGAAAGGAAAAATAAAAGAAATATTCGTGAATACAGTTGCAAATCACTTGACAACTTGGAGACGACAGCTACGGAAAAGTTTCCATCTTGAAATTCTCACAGTTACTTAACGTTGTTCTCGTTCTTGTGAAGTTTCTTTCGTTACTTGAATGCATCTGAAAATGACTGACAATCTCAAATGTTGGCAAGAAATTTATGAGACGAAATTGTTCAACTACTTAGTGCAACTCATTTCAGTTTGATTTTAATTAAACTCATAAATCTCTTGGAACTAAATTTCTCATCGTCGTCAATAGCTTCAGACAGAAATGTGAAAGTCTTAGCTGATTTATGCTTGGAAAGGGTGCAATTGCCAGTAAAATCCCGTAATTTATGTGACATTTTAATGCATTTTCGTGTGCAAACGAGAATCAGCATCAAAAAAATGGAAGTCGAGAGAATGACAGAACACATTAAATATCATTCGTTTATTTTTACAATCAATCATAAATCAAAACTCGGATTGCGAGTGAAACGAATTCATTTCACATGATAACAGAGAAGTGCGCATTAATATTCTCGCCCTTCTCTGATGATGATCTACGAGATCTTTTTCATTTATAATTAGGGAGTGAAAAGCTTGTGATTCGTCGTTGTCGTCGTTGTGATTGTCGTCGACCAATACTTACAATGTTGATCACAGAAGTAGACAAAAATTGAAGTCGAGTCATCATAAATAAATAAATTTTGTCGATTGTTAATTCCACAACCACCCTTAAAGCAGCTTAATAAATTATCAACAAAAATATGAAATCCAATTCCTCGTTGTCATAAATTATTTTTAATGACTCTGATATTATTTTATTTTTTGCCGTTTATCATTTAAAAATTCTTCCTTTTTGCACCGACAACGACGACGACGACTACGGAGCCGAAGCCAAAGCGTTGTTGTATCGTTCGAAGACATAAAAGTCTGGTGTGTGTGAGGAATCGAGTGTCATAAATTAACCCTCTGAGAAAGGAAGAAAAAGTTAAAAGTTTTAGTTTACTCATTCGCACAACCAACGATCCTGATGAAATGTAATTAAATTTCCCAAGCCCAGAAACGTCTTTCAAATTGAATGGTTGAGGAAAGAAAAACTATTTGAATGTCGGTCGTGAAAAGGAAGGAGTTTTTGTTGTTCGTTCGGTTGCCATCGTCTCAATGATGAATAGCATTTGATCCCTTCGTAGCTTCATTCGTCCCCGTTTTAATTCTTGTCGCACTAAATTTCTTCTTCCCTTAACATTTCTACCATGTTTCGCAATCAAAAGGAGAAAAAGGAGAACCAGTAATAAAACATGATTTGAAAATGCATTTCCAAGGACATTAAACGTCGCTTATTCTTCATTGCATTGTTGTGTCCGCTAACAACAACGACAAAGACAATTTTCACGCTCTAGAAGTCTCTTTGAAGAATCTTCTTCATCTTCTTCTTCTTTTGTTTCGTTTTTTGATTCACCATAAAAGCATAAAAATGATTTATTCCTGACATTAAAATGTATCCTGGCCAAGAAGAAAGACGACAGAGACAGTCAAACGAACAGCGAGCGGTGGTAATGCTGCAAGTTGAGCGAAAGACCGACCATAAGAATGAATTTTCTTCAGAGAAAAACTAAATAAATTCAACGAAACATTATGCGAAGTAAATAAAATATATTGCATGTGAGAATTTATGGTTCGTAGCCACTCTTTCTGCATCACCACTACACCATCATCATAAATAATCTCCCTGCTGCTGCTGCTGTTGTTGCTGCGTCTTCTGAACTCCATTCATTGCCCAACATTCTTCTTAATGAGACATTGCTGAACCCATAAGAATGGAATTAACATAAATGTTCGCCATGAAATGAAACATTTTCCCTCCCTTGAATTATGATGCATTTCACTGTTCCAACATTTCTTTTCTTGTCGTTATTTATGATTTTTGGTGTAAACATGAACGTGGTGCAAGTCCAAAAATGTTCTCCAATCTTCGTTTATTCGTTCAGAAGTTCGCCATAAAAAGTAAAACTGCAGCACGTCGTTGTTGCATTCATGAAGTCGAAGTCGTGTACAGAAACAACAAACGAAAAAGGTGAAAATTCTCATAATCATTCCTTAGCCATAAGATTGACACAAATAATTCATTTCCATCCACCACCACTCACACTGCGCTTGTTATTGTGAATTAAAAACTAACGACGTCAATAAAAAACAACAAAAGTGCATTCGTCGAATTAAACTCGCAACTTTTTGATGAATGTTAACCATCGTCGAGTAAACAATCACTCGGAATGTCTCAATTCAAATCGCATTTGCATTTTCCACTTGTTCATATGCGATATGACGATCCACAGAATTTTTTGTTTGTTTTCCACCCTCGCAGTGAATAAAAAATTGTTTATTGCATTTTTACTGCTGTCGTCCGTCGCTTACCTCAACGATGAACGTCATGGCATGGGCGACAAATCCATCTCAGCTCAGAGTCCACACAAAACAAGCATTTGAATTCATCTATTGCAAGTTGAATGATAGAATGAACACGAATTGCTGGCAAAACGCAAACAGATGCTCACTCACTCGTTACATTTTTTATTTGTTTCACTTGACAATCGGTGAAGTCCATTAAAAATTAGTTTATTCATCACAGCGACTAACAAGCGATTAGTTGATGGCCATCGTCATCGTTCTAGCCACTGTGCAATCACACGACAACTATGATGAATGTCAGCAAACATGCAATGAGTGAAGGCATGTGGTTCGCTCGTTTGTCAGTTGTGCAGGAACGAGAAAGTTAATTTTCGGCAGATTTGGAATTTCTTTCAACTAATAAACTAAAAAAAATCAAATATTTGCTAAGAGTGACATTTCCGACACCTTTCGCCGCTTTCTTCTTGTCATCATCTAACAGCGATAAGACTTGAAACTTTTCTGAGCAAACGATGAATAAAATGCACGCAACTGTTTGTTTGCTTCTCTTCTTGGCAGGTGCCGTGTCAAAGATAAAACTAACGACAAAGCAAAGAGAAGTTCTTTGTCGGGAAAGAAAGAAGGAAATCGCGTTGTTGAAGATTCCTTGAATCGCATTTGATATCATTACGATTGCCATAACGCTCGTTAATTTATGATTCAGTCGAGACCGATTTGTAATAAATTTCAGCTTTGTAACTCACTTTTTCCTACCTTAAATCGTCGTTTTTATCATTGAGTAAATGGCAGTAAAGCACAGACAAAGTTTGACATCACAAAAATCACCCTTTTTACATCGAAGTTGAATAAATAAAGAGAATAATTAATCTGATGATTTACGCCTTTTTTGCCCTCACACAAACACATAAAACGAAGCAACGAACAACGAAAGTCGAGCAGGCAATGAAATTGAAGCCTAACGAAAGATTTTCATTGTTTTTACGCAAAGTAAACACAATTTAGCAGATATTTTCGTTTCCAAAGCTTTCGAAATTGAAAGGAAGAGAAAAGTTATGATTGCGACTTGAGATCTCTCACTCGATATTGTATTAAAATATATTTGGCATTAATGGTTTTGCGTTATGCATAAATTTCATAAATAAGAGCAGCAGTAGCAGCAGCTCTGGGGCAGGAATTGGATGAATGACGACGAATGGTGATAAAAAAGGGAAAACAACAGAAATCCACCCTCGTCATAGCATTTCAAACTTTTCCACATTTCCACCCTCATCGTACAGCAAATGAGAAGAAGAAGACGAAGAGTGGAAAATGGAAAACTTGCCACTCGCTCTTACATCATTTTTATATCAAATGAAATAAATAAGTTTTATTATTTTAATGACTCATAATTTTGAGTTAATTTTCCATTTTTGTGCCTTTTTCAAAATCACTTGGGAGTGAAAATTTCATGCTTCAATGTGTTGCTGGTTGTCGGATGAATGAATGAATGAATAGGATCATGGTTGGTTGGTGGGTGGGTGATGAGGAGGTGAAACTTAAAATGACTGTTTGCTTAATAAGGATGAAAACGATTAAAACAATCTTCGCTTCCTTCCATTCCCACTCTCCCCATGCGAATGAATCGCTGTTCCTTTTTTTCTATGTAAAATGTTCACTTAATTTCTCCCAGTGATGTTGAACATTTTGTGTTATGTTATGTTTGACGAAATTTATGTTTATTACTGAAAAAACTCTTCGTTTTTGTAATTTAGCGAAGTAATTTTTCCTTGCTTGGCAGTAGTTGGAAAAATATGAAACATTTTTGTGAATTTATCCTCGAAACCTTTCTCGGAGACACAAATTTCTTTCTCTTCTACCATGCCATGCGATATGCCACTCGCAAAGCTGTTTCATTGAATTTATGATTGAGCGAATCGGCGAAGGGGTGAAAACATTTGAATTTTGATTTAGTGAAATGGTGGAAATGTGTTGCCGTAATCGTACATTACAATGAGATATTTCTGTGATGGAAAATGTTGAAATGATGCGGGAAAGTTGATGTCTTTTCTACCAGAAAATCTTTACGTGAATGTGTGCGTGGGTGGATGTAGGAGAAGTATCGAAAACACTTCAAGAATTCTCATCGAACACTGCTTCGTATCAAACTTCATTGTTCATGCATTCACTTCTCAACTTCTAATTAAACAAAATATTCTCATCAGACATCGAAAAACATCGACGCAGCACCGGCGCCACATAAAAAACGAAGTGAGAAATTAGTTTAAACACATGTCGATCTGTATGTCTCTGATGCGGTGCATACAACAAATTTGTTTTTCAATCTCCAAACTAATTAAGCCATTAAATAATTGAATCACGAAGTATTTTGATTAATAAATTAATGAATTCGAAAACATCTCTCAACGCATAAATAAATAAAGTTGAAGTTGTTTGGAAATGTTGTTGGAATGGCCCCCAATTGGGAAACTGAACTGGTGAAAGATTATCACGAGCGATGTTTGTAAACTTACTTTTGAATTTTGTTTATTTGATTGATCGTCGGTGCAGTGAACATTTTCATTGAATTAAATTTTTGAAGAAGTGAAGAAACATTTTATTTCATTTATTTGCATCAGAATTAAACTTATACAATACTTTCAAATTGAATCAATATGATGAGATACGAGAAAACGGTGCTGATGAAACTGAATAAGAAATTCATGTCAACAGTGAAAAGTCCGCTGGAAATTTCTGCTTTGCTGTGTTCCATTTGCATCTCAAAATATTCACAATTCTTCAAAAGGTTTTTGTCGCTTAGAATTTTCTTTGAATGAATCAGAAATTTCGTTTTGTTTTCTTCTTTAATGATTCCAGTTGAGACAATCATCATCCATGATGCGTAAAAAAAGAAATAAATACTTGCGAGCATTGAGCTGATCATTTCTATTCCACCAAAATCAGTAAATTGTGGTAATCTGACATAAAAAAATATTTGATATGAGGTAAAAGTGCAATGTATAAAAGTCATAGTGGAATAAATGATCAGAATTAAGGAAAAACTTGAATTCACTAGACTTAAAGTGTCTGTCACTTTGTTATGAATTTTTCCAATGCTCTTAAGAAGATTTGTATCAAAGCTTTTAATTGATATAATTTCATTGACGTACTGAAACCTTTTGTAGATCGACCCAGTAATCAGCATGTGACTGATGCAATTGTTCAAGAAGGAGTTAAAGCTATAAGCAGCAAACAAGTTGATTATCCAGTAATATTTGTTGTTATCATTTGTCGTTGCTAATTTCAACACAATTACCCAACACAACGTAATATTCACTATCATGAAGTAAAGAATTGTGCTCACAAATGCTGTCAGAAAATGTTTCCGATGATTGATGTTTATTCCATGGATCTCCAAGTCTTCATCAATTGATTTGATGCTTTCAATAATTTTCACATGTCGATTTCGCATTAAAAAGTTGATTATTCTAATGGAAAAAGTTGCCATGAAAATCGATGCAGGCAAGAGATTTTTATGTCCCAAGTGAATTATGAGAGAATCTGAATTGAATTGCATTTCGACAGTTTTGAGATATGAAATAAGTCCCAATGTCAAGAAAAATATAAAACTGATGTAAGGCCATTTGACTTTTCTGCTTTCTGTAGAATTGGATTTAACCGAAAAGAAGAAAAATCCAAAAATGCGAGTTAAGCCAACGGTGAAAGCGCACACTTCATAAAAGTTTCTTTTTTCAAAGAGTTTCATTATAATGATATGAGAAAAACAATTTTTATTTACTACTTGATAGAAGCGAAGCGTAAGTTAAACTGAAATTTATTAATTCATTACACGAGTACTCCGATAATTAAATAAATTACAAACATGATTGCTTCCTTCTCGAGGCCAACACATGACATGTTCTATTAATTGCTTCAATAAAATTTAATTAGATTTTCCTAATTGTTTCTCTAAATAATCACAAACAACTCTTTATATAAAATAATCTGAAAGGTTTTTAAAATTTATAGAAACATTGCAAATATTTAAACTTTCAAAAGAGAAAAAAATCTGTAAAGTTTCGTGATTTTAACAAAAATAAATTTATTGAGGTTGCTTTTATGGAAAGTTGTCTGTAAATTAAAATGGTAAGTTGAAGTCAATTAAATATCTACACAAGGAGATCTTTTTAATTTGTCAAAACTAAAATATTACAACGTTTTGTTCAAGAAAAATGTCAACAATCTTATGAGTAATGTCAGCATTTTAAATATGATGTGTGGGTGGTGATCATTTCATTTCATTTATTTATTTTAAATTGTTTCCTTTTCCATTATTTAATTGATGTAATGTAACTTCGCTAACTTTTTACAAATGAATATCCTTGGCTTTGCTCTCAAAACCCAAAAGGTTGAAGTTCAACCGTTGAACTAATCGTCGAATTAAGATGACTTTGTGATGTGTGTTTGAAGGTTTGCTAAATATTTAATCAATTTTTAATTAAAAATGTTTTCATTTTGAATCAGAATGATGAGGTAAGAACACAAAGCAGTTATAAATGTGAATAAGAATTTCAAGTCGACATCAAAAAGTCCAACAGAAATTCTCGGCTTTCTATGTTGCAATTGCATTTCAAAGAGATTTAAAGACTCCAAAAACTTTTGGTTTCTAGTCAGCTTTGCGTTGATGAAAGTCCTTATCTTCAAGTTATCTTCGGCGATCCATTTGGAGTAAGTGATGATCCAAAGAGATTGCAGAAGTGGAAATATCAAAGTAAATAACATCATAAAATTGGCAATAATGCTTTTGGCATCTTGCACATTTGCTTCCAGAAAGTGATATAAAGAGTAAAGATTGAAAACAATTGTAATGAAGACTCCACCAAGTATACAAAGAACATAAATAATGAAACATGAGTTGATGAGGTTCAAAGTGTCCAAAAGTTTGTCATGAATTCGACGCAGCTTCTTAATAGTGCTTAAACTAACATTGCTTTGAGTTAATAGTTGATCAACATATTTAAATCGTTTGTAGATTGCCGCGATTAAAAGCAAGTAACACATGGAATAATTCAAAGAAGGAGCATCTACAACTAAATTTAAAATGAAACTGAAGAACAAAAATTTTTCACCCATTTCAATTTCTATCATTGAATATACTTTAAATAACGAGTAATAAAAAATGCAAAACAAAATATTGACGAATCCAGTCACGGCTAAAGCGAAGAAGAATTGTTTTCGATAATTAAAATCGATTCCAAGTTCATGTAAATTATCATCGATTGATTGAATGNATTTTGTGTTATGTTATGTTTGACGAAATTTATGTTTATTACTGAAAAAACTCTTCGTTTTTGTAATTTAGCGAAGTAATTTTTCCTTGCTTGGCAGTAGTTGGAAAAATATGAAACATTTTTGTGAATTTATCCTCGAAACCTTTCTCGGAGACACAAATTTCTTTCTCTTCTACCATGCCATGCGATATGCCACTCGCAAAGCTGTTTCATTGAATTTATGATTGAGCGAATCGGCGAAGGGGTGAAAACATTTGAATTTTGATTTAGTGAAATGGTGGAAATGTGTTGCCGTAATCGTACATTACAATGAGATATTTCTGTGATGGAAAATGTTGAAATGATGCGGGAAAGTTGATGTCTTTTCTACCAGAAAATCTTTACGTGAATGTGTGCGTGGGTGGATGTAGGAGAAGTATCGAAAACACTTCAAGAATTCTCATCGAACACTGCTTCGTATCAAACTTCATTGTTCATGCATTCACTTCTCAACTTCTAATTAAACAAAATATTCTCATCAGACATCGAAAAACATCGACGCAGCACCGGCGCCACATAAAAAACGAAGTGAGAAATTAGTTTAAACACATGTCGATCTGTATGTCTCTGATGCGGTGCATACAACAAATTTGTTTTTCAATCTCCAAACTAATTAAGCCATTAAATAATTGAATCACGAAGTATTTTGATTAATAAATTAATGAATTCGAAAACATCTCTCAACGCATAAATAAATAAAGTTGAAGTTGTTTGGAAATGTTGTTGGAATGGCCCCCAATTGGGAAACTGAACTGGTGAAAGATTATCACGAGCGATGTTTGTAAACTTACTTTTGAATTTTGTTTATTTGATTGATCGTCGGTGCAGTGAACATTTTCATTGAATTAAATTTTTGAAGAAGTGAAGAAACATTTTATTTCATTTATTTGCATCAGAATTAAACTTATACAATACTTTCAAATTGAATCAATATGATGAGATACGAGAAAACGGTGCTGATGAAACTGAATAAGAAATTCATGTCAACAGTGAAAAGTCCGCTGGAAATTTCTGCTTTGCTGTGTTCCATTTGCATCTCAAAATATTCACAATTCTTCAAAAGGTTTTTGTCGCTTAGAATTTTCTTTGAATGAATCAGAAATTTCGTTTTGTTTTCTTCTTTAATAATCCAATTTGAGAAAATGATCATCCAAATCGGATAGCCGACGAAGTACAAAGTATAAAACGTAGTCAGTAGCAAGAAAAAGATGTCATACTCGATTAAAACTTTTGATGTCACGGAAAAATAAATTTGATACAACCAAAATGTGCAGTTGATTGAATACATTGTGAAAATATATGTCACGTTAAGAGCAAAGCAAGAACTTATCAGACTCAAAGTATCAGCAAGTTTGTAGTGAGTTTTCCGAAGTTCCTTCAACAGAGTCAAATCAAATTTGTTATGCAATAAAATTTCGTTAAAGTTTTGATATCTCGCATAGATTGCTCCAGTTACCAACATGTTACTAAGAAAAAAACTTTGATGAGAAAAGAAGGATAACGCGTAGAAAAAGTTGTTCAATTGGTTATCGTTTTCGTTGCTTTTGCCATAAATTTGAATAATCGAGTAGTTTATAAAAAGTGTAATGAAGAGAAGCAGCAAATGAAAAACCGTGACCGCAATTGCTGTCAGAAAATGCTTCTCATGATTGGTTTTAATTCCATGTTTCTCTAAGACGTCATCAATTGAGTTTATGTTGTCAATAATTTCCACATGACGATGTCGACTTAGAAAATTGTGAATGCGAAAGAAATTTGGAATCAAAGTCGTAGCGTAAATCAAGAACGTGTTTCCCAAGTAAATTATGATCGAATCTGAATTCACAGGAGTTGATTTGCCTCTGATGAATCCGATCAATCCCAAAGCCAAAAATACCAGGAAATGAAGGTACGGCCATTTTTCATTGTTCTTCGCTTTTCCAGATCCAATTGAGAAGAAGAAATATCCGAAAAATCGCGCCAAACCACAATTTAAAGCACAAACTTCATAAAAACTTTTCTTTTTAAAAATATTCATCCCGAAAGAGGTAATTTAAGTTGAAACTTGACTGATGTAGCACTTGGAGAGAAGTAAAATGAAATTTTTTAATGTCTCATCTTTTATTTGTGATCAAACTTTATTTGATTACATCACACCCACGCAAATTAAAAGTATGTCACTCGATCAAAACATTATTTTGATTATACTCAGAGTTCAATATCATTAATTACATCATTAATTACGTTTTGAAGGTTCACAAATTGTTATTAAAACCTAAGATACAGTGAAATTACTATTACAGTGGAACTTCCATAAACAGACAGGGGGGGAAAAAAACTATTTGTTATCGAAGTAACCGTTTATGGAAGTTCCACTGTAATAGCAATTTCGCACATATTTAACATTAAAATTTGACGAGACAACTTAAAGTGAGTGCAAAATTTGCAATTTTATTTAAAAAATACTTTCGTTTTGAATCAGAATGATGAGGTAAGAACACAAAGCACTTATAAATGTGAATAAGAATTTCAAGTCGATATCAAAAAGTCCAACAGAAATTCTCGGCTTTCTATGTTGCAATTGCATTTCGAAGAGATTTAAAGACTCCAAAAACTTTTGGTTTCTATTCAGCATTGAGTTGATGAAAGTTCTTATTTTCAAGTTATCTTCGGCGATCCATTTGGAGTAAGTGATGATCCAAACAGAAAGCAGAAATGGAAACAACAAAATAAATAACATCATAAAATTGGCAATAATGTTTTTGGTATCTTGCACATTTGCTTCCAGAAAGTGATATAAAGAGTAAAGATTGAAAACAAGTGTAATAAAAGCTGCATCTAGCAAACAAAGAACACAAATAACGAAACATGAGTTGATCAAGTTCAAAGTGTCCAAAAGTTTATCATGAATTCGACGCAGCTTCCTAAAAGCTCTTAAGCTAACATTGCTTTGAGTTAATAGTTGATCAACATATTGAAATCGTTTGTAAATTGCCGCGATTAGAAGCAAGTAAGCAATGAGATAATTTAAAATAGGAGCATCTGCAGTTACATTTAAAATGACGTTGAAGAAGAAAAATTTTCCACCTTTTTCAATTTCTATCATTGAATATACTTTATAAAACCAGCAATAAAAAATACAAAGCGAACTATTGAAAAATCCAGTCACGGCTAAAGCGAAGAAGAATTGTTTTCGATAATTAAAATCGATTCCAAGTTCATGTAAATTATCATCGATTGATTGAATGTTCTCAATAATGGTGACGTGACGTCGTCGATTAAGGAAATTATGAAATGCCATCATCAAAGGTATGCAGATAAATTGCTGAGTATACATTTTGAGTCCTATTCGTAGTACAACCGATTCGATGCTATTCAAAAAATCTACGTCAACTCTTTTATAAGAGATCACCATCCCAATGACCACAAGCAGGAAATTAAGACACAAACATTTCTTTTGACATCTGTTGCTGCATCTTTGGCAACATCCGGTCTTCTGCTTATCCAATGAGAAGAAGAAAAATCCAAAGCTGCTTGCTAACCCACAATTGAAGGAACAAACTTCAGTGAAATTTTTCTTATTGAAAAGTTTCATCTTTATTTGAATTTGTAAGAAATCAAACAAATTTTATCCACCCACGCGAAAGTCCAATACTCAACTAATTGAATTATGAACTTAGGAAATTAATTTCTAATATTTTAATTTATTTCATAATTTCTATTCATGTTTTCTGATAAGCATCGCCATTAGATGATTAGTTGAAATGTTCTTTGGTCAGTTTAGGTATCGAATTGCGGTTTGCAAGTTCCGGAGACGACTTCCAATCCCATAAACAGAAATTTTGATCTGTAGTTGAATCTTCATTAAAATTTCCAAGAAATATTAAAATAAAGAAAAACTTCCATAAATTTATTGTCTTCAAATTTGTGTAAAATCTGAAATTAATTTTCCTATCAAGTCGTGTTTATGGCGCTATGAATTTTAACAACTTCAAGTAAAACTTTTTGATTCGTTGAATGAAACAAAAAATTGTTGAAGGCGCCATCGATTAAATTTCTTCATCGGACGAATATTTCGGAATGTAAAAAATTACTCAGATTTATTTACAAATGAATGCTCATAGTTAAACATTTTCCACACATTTTTTCTCCAAACTATTCTCGATTAAGATTCGTCAAAAGATGTCTTAATCGTGTTTAAGTTTCTGCATGAAATGAAATTAATTTCTTAACAGTTTATGACTTTAATTGTTTCTTTGGAACTTTTTCGGCGCCTCAAAAATACGAAGCGGCTTCTTCATTTTATGTGCAAGTTGTAAGTGCGATTGATATTCCTTAATGATGTTCGACTTGAATTTATTCGGCTTGTCCATGCAATAGCCGCATTCGTACATGAATTTCCCGGGATGTTTGTTGGTCTTCAAGACATGTTTCCGAAGATTTTCCTGCATTGAAAGATCAGAAATTATTCCAACTACATCAACGAACGATAAAGAGTCGTGATACTCACAGAATTATTACAAGAATAATTGCAATATGGACAATTGTAGATCTTTCCATCCTCCATCTCATGAACTCTCATATGTCGCTTAAGATGATGCGATAGCTTTGTCTTGTAATCGCAATGTTCGCAAGTAAATTTGAATTCCACTTCTTGATGCTTACGAGAATGACTGTGCAGTTGGAGAAGAAGAAGTTGGAACAGTAAATAAGTAAGCGAATAGCAACAACCATTGAACCGAAACGAAGAACAAAATAAATAAAATGAAGTCAAATCAGTAGCTTTTATCGTTTGTTATTGCGATCTGCTTTTGTTGTTAACTTCTCTTCTTAAATGCTTAACAGAAAGAGATTTGATACAATTTCCAATTTTCATTTTATTATATTACAAAAATGGTAAAAATCGTGACTTATTCAACGAAATGTAAGCGATTCGATTGCCATTTCTCCACCGGAGCTTTTCTTTATTTGGCGCATTTGAAAGCCAATAACTTAAAATGCGAGCGCAATAACAAATGTTGAAGTCATCGAACAAGAAGCAAAAGGAGTTGTAAGAATAAATTACGATTTAAAGCATGAAAAAGGAGAAAACTTCCATCCATTGTTGTTTATTTAATCACTAAAATATTTGATTAGAATTTATCGAAGTTTGTCATAAAGAAGTTCAATGATTCCCGTGGATAATTTGATCGAATCAAAGCGATAATTGCCAGTGATGTAAACAGAGAAAATATTTACAAAGTTCCAAGAACTTTATGCGATGGTCGAGTGAAGATTGAGAACAATCGACGACTGCCAGCATTTATCTGGATCGTCTACATATGAAAATGCATAAATATAAATTTTGTACTCAAGTGCACTTACCTTCTCAATTGTTCCATTGTTTGTCCGCGATAATCGCAGTTTGGCTGTGTACAAATGAACGATTTCTCGTCACCATGTGTAAGAAGATGATTTCTTGCGTCGGCTGCATTGTGACCAATGTGAATGCAGTTCGGAAGCTGGCATGGGAAAGTTTTTGTCTTGAGGCGATTACGATGAATAAATTTGTGTTGTTCAAGAACATGTCTAATGGAAGGAAAAGTTCGTAGATTAGATTTAGTTTTAATTTGACAGAAGGAACTCTTCTTGGCATCGTCGATGCCGTTTGCCTCTCAATTTCTTTTCCAGTTAAAAACTCTTCTGGCGAAGTTGAAAAATTGTTCATTGAAAAAATTATAACGAAACACGAGACAACAAATTATGAAATTTTTCTTCTTCTTCTCATTCCTTGTCGTCGTCGTCGACGTCCTCATAACTGCAGAGAAGCTGGAAATGGATGAAATCCCGTGTCTGTGTGTTTGTTGGATAGAAGCGACAGTAAAATGGAAAAGTCATCATCATAATTCAAAAGTTGTCAGAAAAAGATTTTCAATTTGCGCTTTCGACTCGCCTAGTTGGCGTTTTTTGCTTCGTTCTCGTCTCTCCTTCTTTCCTGCTCGAACTTCCTCGTGTTGATTTTTTTTTTCTAAAGTCACATGAGTGAAGGGAACAGAATATGAAAAAGTGAAGCTAAATTCGAGTGCTGCACTTCTTCACCAACTTCCATGATTCATCACAACGATGACGATGAGAAAATGGCAAAGTTTGAGTGAAAGCCAATGAAAAGCATTCGAAAGAATGAATAATGAAAGAAGAATTTAAAAAGTAAAAGTTCCTGGATAAAATTACTTCATCCCTCTCGTTTCCATTTAACAAGCAACGCTGAGACTTTTTCCATTTTCATTTGTCTTTTGTTTGTTTTATTTATTATCGAGAAATTCTCATTTTTTCACTCTCAACGCTTCGTTATTGTTACTGGCTTCAGCATCACTTCAATCTCCGTTCCCCCCCTCATTCTTCGTCTTTTGTCTTTCATTTCTTTCCCTTCTCACACCCTCAATTTAAGCAGCAGCAACACCAGCAGCAGCTTCCATGTAGACGTCTCATTTCATCCTACAAACAAATCCAACAACACAACAAATTTCAATCCTCAAACTCGATACACAAAAGTCATTTCACTTCTGCTGTTGCTACTTGCTGCTTATTCGAGGTATTTAAATTTTATTTTAATGTTTGTACCGAGCATTAATTTTTATAATCCAATCATAAATTTAATTAAAACAAAACAGAATCGTCTTGCTAAAGCTGATGTTGAAGTTGAAGCTGTTGATATTCATTTTCCTTTCTCATTTTCATTTCACTCTTTATGGAAAATTTGTTTGTCGAGTGGAGAATTTTTATAGTTTTAAAAGACGACGACGACAACGAGAAATGAGATTTGAGTCCGAATCGAAGAAGATTCCCATCAGCTTGGAATGTTTCTTCATTGCGAATCTTAATAAATAAATTAAAATTTCTCACTTACTTGCTTTGAAACTTTTTACCACACACACGACACACGTTCAAAAGTGACGTCGCATTGTCATTGTCTTCATTGTTCTTGTGAACTCTCATCAGATGAGTCTTCAAGTTCGATTTCCGTGTGAAACTCATTGGACAGCCAGTGACGGAACATTCAAAGATTCGTTCGTTTGTGTGTTGTCGCAAATGTTCTCGCAATGATTGTTGACCGAAGAATTTCTTACAGAATCGACATTCGATTTTCGTCTTGTAATCTTTATCGATGGGAAGTTGATGAAGAGTCTCATGAAAGAAAAACTCAGCTTGAGATTCGGTGCTGTCAATAAAATGTTAATTAAATTCATTTCAAAATAATTTATAGAAATTTTACCTGAATTTTACCTGAAACTTCGACAATCTGCTGTTGGTGTTTGTCGTCGTCTCCATTCAACACTTCTTCAATTACAATTTCAAATTCATTTGCATTGCTTGTTGTCGTTGACAGAAGGTCAGTTGCAAAGTTACTCTCGATTAATTCCATAAGTCCACTACTTTCGGCAACTTTCTCAGTATCCGATGAAGTAACTTGGAATTTAATTGACTCTCGAGGAGTCTCAGACGACAATTGCTTCTCAACTGAAGACGAGGACGATTGAATTGTTTTATAAAACTTACACACTTTATCCCGAACGTGTCTGGAAACTTCTTGGGCCAATGGAAATTTCATGCCGCATCGTCCGCAACTGAAAATTGCACAACAAAATCATCAACTTTTCCTAACTCAATTAATTCCTTCGCTTCAGATGATGGTCGAGAAAAATATTTTCATTTACGACTTTATCAAATTAAGCAGCGTGGGTGGACGAATGAATTTATGAATTAATTAATTACACGACTCACCTAAAATAATGTTCTGGATGCATCGCAAGTATGTGATCTCGAAGCTCGACGTTATCCAACATCGTGTCGTTGCAGACCGGGCAAGTTTTCTGCAGACGTGCTTTCAGTTTCGGATCGCTTTGCATTCGTTTACGTGACGTTATAGTTTTGTGGTCAATGCCATTTCGATGTATTCGCGCTTCATCTGCTGTGACGAAAGTTTTCTCGCAATCAGTGCAGAAGAAAATTGGATTTTTGTGAGTTCTTCGTTTATGTTTCTGAAGTGACAACGCGGATTGAAAAGCTCTTTGACATTCATCACATATGAAGTTGCTGGTGAAATTGAACAAATTCTTGTTTCTCTGCAACATCTCACAACTTTTCAAATGTTTCATCAACTCGATGTTGTAACGAAATTGTTGTAACGAAACATTTATCGCATCGAACTTCACTCAACAAACGGACGATGATGGGCTTCGAGCGATTAATCAACGCAACGACTTGTTGATGTTCCACACTCTTCAAATGTTCCGTCATGTGAACATTCGATGAACACGCAAATTTACAAATCGAACAGAAGAATTTGTAGCCACCCCCGCCTTCGCCCAACTTTTTGTCGCAACACTCGACATGCCCGATTGAATTCCAATGTCGGAGGAAATCTTCTTGCGTATTGAAGTAGAATTTGCATGGTTGACATTGAAAGGGCGATTGTATGATAATTTTATGGAAATTGTTGAGCACAATGTCGAATGATTTTTTCGAGCTCTGCAGCATCTTTCGATAGTGAAAGTGCGATATCAAATGTTTGCCCAACAAATGAACTGGCAGCTTTATGTCGCAAACTTCACATGTTACTTTCGAACGTGATCGAAATTTTTTCTTTCCTTCCACCTTCAAATCAACATTTTCGTTCTCGATGACAACTGTCACTGTCGCATCTTCAACGACACTTTGTTGGAAGTGTGATGAAAGTTCGTTGAATGGAAGAGTCTCAGCGGCTGCTTCTAATTCATTTTGAAGTTTCGTTCGCTTCTCATGTAAATTTGACTTCAAATGTCGTTCATAAATCGCACGAGATGCCAACTTTCTCGAACAGAAACTGCACCAGAAACTTTCATTGTTATCAGACATCGCGTGAAGTTCAAGCTTCGAGATTTTGGTGCCAGGCACCCATTTCCCTTTCGTGTGAGTTGGCGGTGGATTTGAATCTTCAATCTCCATCGACTTCTCCAAATTTCCATCATTCGACGATTCATTTTCGTCCCAATGTGGAATCTTTGTCGATTCGGGTTTCCACTTTCCACCAGTGAAGTTGTTTGGCGGTCTCGACCCAGGTTTCCATTTCCCACGAGTGTAATCGCTTGGCACTTCAGGATCGGACTCATCAGTCTCATTCTCTTCATCGGATTCCGATTCTTGTTGCTCGAAAAGATTAAAAACCGAATCTTGCTTCTTAATGCCAACAGTGGAAGTCGCTTCATCAATCCATTCGTCGCCATGTTGTGCCAATAACGCGGCCGTCGCCTTTCTAGTTAAAATCCGATGATTGCCACTCGATGATGGATGTGGATGGGAGTGTGGTGAGTCACGTCTTGGCATGCATTGCAGTTCAAGTGACGAGAAGAAGTCGTAATCGTATTGCTTGAATTCAGACTCTGTCGATTTGTTTTTCTGTTCACTGCTAATTTCTACGTCATCTTCAGATTCTTCCTCCAAATTTTCGTCGTCTTCGTCTTCGTCTTCGTCAAACTCTTCACACTGATCATCATCGAAATGGAAATCCGCGTAATTCTCAATTTTCTTCTCATCACGATGTGTGTTTAGAAATCCTTCGAAATTCGCTGTGAATGGTTTCGTTGATGACTTCACGTTCACGTTCTTCGATGACGATGAAGTTGACGACAAACAATTTCTCTGACGATGATTTACATAATTCTGCAATCCAATTATCGTTTGATTACATCGAATACATAAATGTGAGTCTTCTTCATCAACAAGCTCCATTCTGCTCGTCGCCACAATTTATTTTCTGCTCGATTATACAAAATTATTTAAATTAAAAAGAGATTTCAATGAAATGAAAGGATTTGCTTCAAAGCAGCAGCTAAAATTGTGACAGCTTGTGCGTGGATGAAGAACTGAGTTTACCTCTTCTCGCTCTATCAGTTCTTCTTAGAAGACAAACGACAGTGAGAGGGAAAAGTTTCTTAATTGAACTATCAACAGAGAACCTACCGCAAGTGTTGAACAACTCAAAGTTGCTTTTTGAGTTGAACCAATAATCGGATGAGTTTCATATTAATTAATTTTTCTTCTCTTAAATTCTGCTTATTAAAATGTTTTGTTTGCTTTTCTTTCGATTTTCCCAAGTATTAGTTCACTGCTTCTGACTTTACGAGTTGTGTCATTTGTACGAAAGTGTTTCTTTCAGAGAAAATCAATAGCAACGAAGACACAAGAACTTGAGCCATTTATTTAATTAAACAAGTTGTTCCAATGATAACTTTAGCTGCTACTTCTGGTGCTTCGTCCTTCTTTCCTTTTTTGTCTTCTCTTCAACTTGCTTTAATTAAAATTAGTTTTGCAAATTTTTCAATCTATCTTGAGTAAAAGTGAAGCAAGAAGTGGAAGACGAGGAAGAAGACAATCCTAGCTCGAGGAACCTTTTTTATTTATTTTTTCTTTCTCATAAAGCGACAAATAATAATTTTCGGCGGTAGATCCAAGAGTTTAATTAGATTTCTCAGCTCTCAGGAAGGAAAAAAGAGTCTCCAAGTTTGAAATTTATTCGAGTACCGTTCAGATCATGAACAAAGATTTGAATGTTGGGGGGAGAAGTTCTGGAGTTTTGAACGTGATGCTTTTAGTCTGCAATTGATGGAAGATTTCAAGTGAAGTGCGAGTATCAGAGGCACGTCCCTAACTGACGTAGGTGAACGTAATGAAAAAGAAAACTTTGTCTCATAAATATTTGAGGTTGAAATAGATGAAGGGAGGGAGAGAGAAGGAGAGTGAGAGGGGCATAGAATGAAAAAATCCATTTCAATTCATATTAAAATATGTTAGTTTATTTCTTTTATGCTTGTTGTCCCTTTTTGTCTTTGTTTTCGCTTTAAGCGTTTTCTGAAATTATTGTTAATCGATTTCTTCTCTTCTGTTCTTGTTGCGCTCTTGATAACCAGAAAATGTCAACCATTACGCATTATAACAACAATCAGATTGTTTGCAATGGAAATTGTAGCCATCACTTCATGTATATGAACGTTCAATTTATGTTAATGATGAAGTGCATTTAATTACTGGCATTAAGTGAGTGCTAGGTAATAAATGATCTTAAACAATTGATAATCATTGCATGTATTCAACATTGAAGTTTTTTAAATGCTTTCAGTCTTCTTTCGATTCAAATTGAATCGATGACAATAATTTATGTTTTCAAATTAAAAGGTGAATTTACAGTGGCGATTGAGAGAAGTTGATAAGCCCACGTCACGAGAAGTTTCTTTTATTTCGATCTCTTCACATAAGCAAAAAATTAATTAACGATTCTTTCCTTCTCTCTCTCTCTCTCTCCGACTGATTGATCTTAATCTATGCTAAATACAAGTAGTTAATTAACTTTATTGTTCACTCTTCGATTTCTCATTGTGCAAAAGTGGGAAATGTCGAGAAACTTAAGCTTTAACGTGACTTGTTTGTGTCATAAAATTATCTATGATTTCATCGCGAATGCTTAAGCCAAATAAATTGTTGACTCAAACATGTGTGTGTATGTGCATGAACATAAGCGAAGAGAATCAAACAAAATTATCTGAACATGAAATTCGATTTATGGTAACAAGCGGCTATGTTTCTATCGCCAAATCATATAAAAAAGTCATAAAACTTTTACGAGTTCTTGAATTTTATGGATTTTCAACATTTTCTTGAGCCCTTGAAAATTATTCTTATGTTGTTTTGAACATTCAAGGACGATCAAGAAAATCGATGAATTAAAGTTCAATTTTAACATTTGTTTTCAAACATAAAATTTTGATGCTCGCCATGCACCAACATTTTGATTGATTGACAAGCGCTGGATGACTCTGATTCAATGTTTTGAGAGAGCGCTGTTTGATGTTGATTTATTGTTGAGCTCCGCCTTGCCAGCATGTTTAACGTTTTGTTTACGATTTCAAATTTCGGATCAAAATAAAAGAATTTCTGAGGATTTACAGTAATAATTGAAATTATTTAAATACATTTTACAATCTTTGATGTTCAAGTTATTGGCTTTTAGTGATTCTCTCAGCTAAAAGGAGATTTTAGTAATATTTATAAGAAATTTCCGACTATTTCCAATGTTTTGTTATGATTTATCATTAATTCCGATTTTAAGCTTCAAAGCTGATTTATTTATCTCGCAATTATGAAATTTTTAAGCATTATTTAGTTATTCTTTCGTTACTTACAATTTGATATTTGATAATTTGAATCTTCCTCCAATTTTGATAAAATTAAATCGAGCTTCGTTTCACTACACTCAATACAACCGTACAACTAAGCATTGTAAAGTATTTGACACTCACTCACACATTCACACAACAGAACATAAAACATCGAATGCTGAGCATACATTTTTGGCATAGAAACTGTTGAACTTGTATGAAATTATTTTAAAGTGGTCGCACTTAGCATGTCTGGTCTCATACTTAGTGATGTCTGGTGATCATGAAATGAAATAAATCAATCGACTCAATGTTTTTCATCTCGATTGACGTTTTGTTTATTATTATCGTGCGATAAATTTTTTAATGATTTTGCAAGTGAAGATTGAAGAACGTTGAAATCTTTCAATCTGAGATCATCTTCAAGAGTGGCATATTGAGGAAATAAATAATATCATAACATGAATAAATGTGAACATTTGCTGAGTCAGTGAGAAAATATTTACATAAGAATTTGCCCATGAATTACTCTCAAATGTCAATTAAAAACTTCCGGAAATTTTAAACTGCAAATGCATTTAAATTTTTTCACAATTCATTAGCTCATTTCATCAGTGAGTTGAATAATGAAATGGAATCAATTAAAAGTGTTTCCTCACACCCAACACCGTCGAATGCAGATGAAGATGAAGATGACGGCTGCTGACAAATGTATGAAGAGACCTATTTTTATAGTTTCGTTGTTTTGCTTCGGACTGATGAAATATGATGAAAATAAATGTCCTGCGTTGAGATGAGAGAAGAGTTGAAATATTTTACTTCGATTCGAAACAACATCAAGAGAAATTTATTACTCGGTGAGAAATTTCATCAAACGACAATTAATCAAAAATTAAATCTTTCAGACGACGACACGAACTTTAAGTCACTTTGCCGAAGGTTCGTTCTGAATGAACGAAAGACGTGTAGCGAAAAGAAAAACATTTTCAGATTTTCAGATAGACAAGTGGAGTCATTTAAAAGTCATAAAATTGAAGAAAAGTCGCATGACGTGAAGATCTTCACGATTTAATTTATCGGCTTAATTCATTTACGTTTCGTGCCATCTCGCAAAGCTATTTCGAATCATCTTAAAAGCAAATAGCAAACACTTGCTAAGAAATCAATCAAACTTGAATTTTCTTTCTTTCATGTGCTAATGACAGACCTACATTCGTTTTCCGCGTTATTGCATCGTTGACGACTCATAAATTGTGGGAGGGATAAAAAATATTTTGCAATGGAAATTCCACTCGAATATGATTCAAAATAATTTCACATCAAATCAATCGTAATTCATCTCGCAATGAATTCATGTTTCGCAATGTGAACAGAAGATTAAAATTATTTACATCACACTTGTGCGATCAGTCATGCATCAAAATGTGAATATATATTTCCAGATATTCCACGACTGTGCGAATGCAGAAATAAAAAACTTTCTTGTCTTCATTAATCAAATATCTGCATTCGAAATGCAAATTTAGAAACTTGAAATGAATTTGACTGATTGTGGGATCGTTGAAGCTACAATCAACCTAAATAATAACTCGTTATTGCTGCACATTAATTTGCCGTTTTAAATTCTTCAGTTTCTATTATTAACTTCATTCAAATGTCTTTCGATGGCAACAACTTATGTTTGTGTGTCAAGTATGGATTGCAATTGCACATATCAGTGCGTCAAAAGTGCATTAGATGTGAAACGATTTTGAAGCGCATCGTTCATGAAAAATGCATTGCAATCGTCGTCGTTGTCATTGTCGTCATCGTCGTCCTTGTTTTTCCGCAGTCGACAATCGTCTGACATAAACGAAATGAATGAAAAGAAAGAAAAATAACTGAAACGTTTGAATGACTTAAATTCGCTTTGGAGCAGCGAAAGCAAGAAGAGATGATGGATTGACATGCCATCACTCAAGAAAATGCACATGTTTGTAATAAATATTTTATAATGTTGCTTTCATTTTACCAATATCATGTGTTCTGTTCAAATGTTGAACGATGTATAAAAGATCCACGACAGCTCAATGTTCAGATATCATTCAGACAATTCTATGGTGTAAAGTAGAAAAGAAACAAAGAGAAATATGCGAATGCAAGTGGATTTTCCGAATGTGGAAGCACATGTGATATGAAATGAATTTTCCGGTTCCGAAGAATTTTCCAATTGATGTGCGAGTGATTTTTTGAAGTTGTTCATTATTCTACGTTCACAACACCTTGAATGACATATCGGTGGAAAAAAAGGAATTAAGGAAATTGCTTTCATATGTTTGATGTTTGTGCTGCATTTTGTGAATCATTTCCATTGATCGTAACGTCCCTTGAATGATTTTCATTTCAAATTGACCCAATAAGAAATCAAGAGAAGATTTGAAGATTTCTTTCTGAAACTTTTTCTTAGCACAAATATCTGGGACGAGACGCTTCACAAAAGTATTGATAAACAATAAAACGAAAGGTGAATTATGATCGGAGTTTGATGCAGCAAGCGCATGTCTTTAACGGTTCGGAGAGTAAATAAAGTGACGAGAGAATTGTTTGAAACAAAACAAAATGTGGAGAAAGAAACTCAATCGGAATTGAGAAGAATTTCAAGTCAAATCTTGATTCAATGGATGAGTGAAATAAGAGATGAAAATCTGATTCGAGAGATTAATGTTAATGTCGTTGATTTATTTATCATTGCACTTGAACATGAACTTCCTGAACTTCTTATTTTAAAGGAACTTTGTGATGTCTAAAAAATTTTTATTGAGGATATTTTCAGCATAATTCAAATTGATTTAATCAACAATTAACATATTTATGCTACATCGCACAACATTACAAATTGAAACTCCATTTCACTTCCTAACCATTCAAACTTCATAATGTGCAACATTAATTTAAAATAGTTATAGAAGAGTCAAAGAGAGAGAAGAAATTATTGAAATCGATGTAATCATGAACGGTCATGGATGAACATAAATGTTCTTTGTAGTCAAATGCAGACATTTTGCTGATGGCAAAAGATGATTCGTCAAAGTGAACATTAAACATCAAAGCATTCATCATTATTATATTTGGAATCAAACAATTTATTAAAAATAACTTTATCTAAGCATAAACTTCGCTGAGTCTGTTGAGGGGATCAAAACACAACATCAAGTGCAACACAACTCAATTCAAGCGTAAAGGAGGAAAAGTTAAAATGATTGACATGTTGAGAACACGTCTTAATGAGTCTTTCAATAAGAAAATGATGAGGGAAGCAGTGGATGATTAGTAAAATATTTCTCCTTCGTAATGTTGCGAATTTTGTTTCTTAATCTCAGTCAGAATTACGCGCGAATGTTTCAAGATTGACCAGCTTATAATTTTCTGTTTCTACTGCTGTCACATGTCATTCACTCGATGAATGATTGGCTTTATATGAACATGACTGAGTCTTGCGAATAAAGAGATAAAGTCATTAGAAGATGAGCTGCATAAGGTGACGTGTCGTCTTCCTGCATCTCAAGTTTCTTCAATTTGTCATCGAGAAACATAAAAATGAATCACCCTGTGGTAATATTTATGACTCGTTCTTTATATCCTCTCAATAACATTTCATGTTTATAAAATGTGTCAGTCACACTCAAGTACAAGATGATTGAAATGTTTAACTTCTCGCTCCTTTTGCTTTTGCAATATCAAGTTTGACGAGACAAGAGTCTGTGTGGGACATGCGAGTCTTAAGGAAGACTTTAATGTCGTGGAAAAGATGTGTCGTTGATCTATGCGTTCTTTGTTCACTCATCACAAGATCTGTCAGACGAATGCAAAATCATTTCTGTATGAAACATCAACAGTGACAGCGACACTAACACAAGCCATGACCGATGATTATTGTTAATCGATAATCTTAATTAAAAGCACTTTGTCATTGAATGTATGTCAGTCCGTTTTGATGGATTTCATGTCGAGTTCGAGTATGTTTGTGCAATAATTCCATGAGTTTTATCAAATTGATTGGAACATTCTCATCTGTTGGGGATTATGATTGTAATTAACCACAAAACTCATAACTCACATCTATAAATTAAAAAGGCTTTGGCATGTCGAGTTTTGTGTTGTGTTGTCTCGTCTCATTCCACTCATTTTCCTGCTTAAACTATCGATTGTCATCAAAGCTTATCAATAGCCATTGACAACATTATTGAAATTCTCAACCAACTTCCAATGACAGAACTAAAGAAAGTGTCACCGAATCTTCAGTCGTCAATTGACGAGAAAGAAGAAGTTTATTAGAGAGTTTGAGTTGACATTTTATTTACATGTGTCAAACATTCGCAGCAGATTTATTTTGATCTTGTTTTGATACGTTGATTGAGTGACAGCTCTGACATTTTACGATTTCATCGTGAACACGTTTTGAGCTCAACTCAGGTATTTCGAGTGCAATCGCGACAGTTTATGGAAGCGTCATCAATAAATCCGTTAAATGTCACGGGAGTCTTTTGCAGAAGCAAAACAAGTTTGGTGTGGGTGGATGTACAATTCTTGTAACTGTATGTAAAATTATTTATGACTCAAACATGATACAAAATATCATTTTATGCTCTAATCCCAACTATCGATAGATCATTTATGTTTGTAGATAACTGAATAATTAAATGAAGGATAAAATAAAATTGATTTATTAAAATTAATTACATGAAAATAATGAAATCGCATCGATTTTTGTTTTATATTTTATTGCTTTACTTAAACTGTAAATAGTTGAATAAATTTATTTTCACATTTTCCCTTCTCACAAGTTGTGTTGTTTATGTTGATTATCGATATTTATTCGATTTATTCTAATTCACAGTTGAATGAAATGAGAATGGCTGAAGGCATTTACGACGTTTGATAATTCAACATTTTCAGTCAATCAACGCATTCGTTTTAAAATTGGAGCAGCTTTACATACAGACGACATCACTTTTAATGAGTGTGCGTTGTTGTGTTGTTGATCAAATAAATAATCATTAAATTTGCATAATTCTTCAATGCAACTTTCACACTCAATGATGATCCCGCCAGTTAACAGCCAGACAGATGTCAATCTTTCTCTCATTGATCTCATATTCAGTACAACTCAACTGAGTTCGGTCAAATTTGCATTGAATTTCTACACGAACCCCGACAGAAATCGAATCTGCATCATCATCCACTTCGTTTCGAACTCTCGTCATTCATTGTAGTTGTCGAGAATTTCGCTATTTGTCGAGTGACGTTGCACAAAAAAAATGAAAACGAAGCTAAACTTGACTAAACAAACTAATGATAGATTAAAGTGTTTCAACGTCAAATCAACCCTTTTTCATATTTTTCTGTGCATGCTGATCGCAGCTCGCAGCTCGCTAGACGAGCGACTCACTCGACTCTTGAAACGAGAAATTGAAGAGAGAAAAGGCGAAAAGCAAAACTCAAATAAATCATCTTCGACATTTCAATTCGTTCGGAACTAAGGAAAAAAAAGTTTTAGACTTTTCGTTTCTTGCTTGCTTCATTGTAGTCTCGAAGTTTGATTTCTTTTTTCGGCTGTCATAAAAATCATCTCAGCAAAATGAAATAATGACATATCAATCAAAAAGTCAAGTAGGATGAGTTGCAGTTCTCAAATTATTCTGTTTTGTTTGAACAATTTCTTCACGCGAGTCTTCGACATCACAACGTGATTTGTTTTGAGGTGTTCATCGAGAGTTTTGCGAGAGTTCAAAGGCCGTTCGATGAATTTGATGTTTTCTTTTATTTGTTCAATTTGCACGATTCGCCTTAAATTCGAAGTTAATCAACATAAAATTGAACAAGCAACGAGAACATCGACATGCAGGGAAGAAAACAGAAACTAACAGAAAACAAATAAAGCGACAATGATTGATAGCTGTCAACTATTGACATTCTTTTCCTATATCAGTCGCCTGTCATTTACAAAAGTGCCATTCACTCAATCATTCACACTCACAGCACCCAAACACACACACACACACACACACACACACACAATCTCTCACGTCATGTCATGTCAGGCAAATTAATCATTCATATTTCGTGACAGTCATCCTTCAAGTGGGAACTCGGAACATGTTCGTGTTGGTGTTGATCCCACAAACAATGATTGAAGACGAAAATTAATTTGTTATTGATTTCTTTGATGATGATTCTAGATCGAACCAAACTAATAATTAACATCTCCGTTCAATTCAAATTCTTTTCACTTTGATTCAAAATCAAAATCAACAGCAAATTGCGATGTTAAAAAAATCTTTCTTAGAACTTCATAAGCAGACACTGCACAGCAATCAATTCACAAAACCATGTGAAGTTTGAAGATCTTACATAACTCAATCAATTTCAGAGGCTGAGAATTTGCATTCGTAACCTTTTCATATTTAAATCGACAGGTCCAAAGTTTTGTATTGTCATCAGGTCGTCAGAAGCTTCCTAAGTTGAGTCCACTTTGAAAATAAATATTAATGAAGAACGGAGAAGATTTTGGCATCGTCATTGTTGTGTGTGGATCTCGATATCAGTTTAAACTTCGAAATGATTTTCTTCTGTCATCGTCGTAATAACGAACGAAATAATTTTCTGATCCATTTTTGTCTTCAATATTCAATCATTCAATTTTTATTGACATGCACACAGCAAAGCATAAATTTCATCAAATTCTTATCAATTGTCGATTAAAAATATTTAAGGTGCGAAAGTTATTCAATTTAATTCTTCAAATTCCTAGCAGGTCATCAATAATTGAAATGTCATCGTCATACGGTCATCGCCTGGAATGTTCATGCTAATAATATTAACATCAGTCACACTCTGCGAATATTTTGATGAAATCATAAGAATTGTCGGGTGATTGATTGGCTTGTGAACCGCCGACAGCTTAACAGCGAATATGAAATTTCATTTAAATCTTGACTGACACTTGACAGACAGGCGGCAGAAAATGAACGACTGCAAATTCCTTTTATGCAGTTGAAATACAGGAAATTTGAACGAAATCTTCAAGATCATCATGGAAAGAACAACAAAGTATAATAAAGACGAAAGGAATTTGTGGATTGAATGATGAGAAGAATCTCTTCACATCAGACAACTCTCAATGAATAATTCGCCAATGTTTCGTTGCAAATTTAAACTTTTTCCGACACGAGAGCGATTTCGTTTTCCTGAAAGGCATAAATCACGAGAAGCAAGACATAAAAAGTGTAAAAGTCATTTGAGAGCGAGCATATTAGTTAGTCCGAGGATGCATAAATCTTTCAGTAATTACTCATACACGGGAAGTTGAAAGGACACAAGAAGAAAAGCTACAAGGACGTGTTCGAAGCTGAAAAGCATCAGAATCAGTAGAAGCTGTGAAAGCACTACAAAGAGTGGAACGAAAATTATAATCACACATATTTTTCTTGCTCATGATTCTACTGGGAGACATCTTTCACAATAATCTTCATGTTCAGATGAGTTCGGAACGAAATCGTAGATCTATGAAAAATGTTTATGTTTCTCGACTCAAATGGACTCGAATAGTGGAAGGGATGAAGATGTAAGTGGAGTGGGATGAGTGGAAAGGTACGAAAGGGTGATGTGGGTGGAAAATCAATGAAAATGTTGAGAATTTTCACAGAATTTTGTTGGTGAAAGTTGGTGGTCAAAAATTGCAAGGAAAACTTTTCTGTGAATCATTTTTAAATGAAATTAATTGAGAATATTTCTCACCTCACATTGCATCCCTGAAAGACGAAAAAAATCCCAACTTGAGTACATATTCAATCCCATTGTCTTAAGTAAATGCAAATTGTACAAGGAGAAACTCTCACTTCATGCTGCTAATGCGTGCTGATGGAGCATAACGAAAACGTAACAAAATAATTCCAAAATTTATGAAAGTCGTGGGGTTTTCCTTGTTTGTTAATTTTCCGGAATAAAGCAGATGGAAAATTTTCATCAACCCAGATGAGTGACATGTTGACGTGACTGTCTACGACAAGTCTCTGTGTCACTTGCTTGCAAATCTTCGCTACCAAATTTTCGAGGGGGCAAAGATTAGAGTTTGAGTTTGAGTTAATATCAGCAATGAAAAGTTGAATTAATTCGTCAAGAAATGTAAATGTTTGTGATGACTTGAAGCATTTAGGAGTTGATTCGGAAGTTGAGTCACATGATTAATTGTTAAATGTTTTCTCTTCCTGCTGAACTTCGAACCTGCGACGTTGCTCATGAACAGTTCTGGATGAACATCTCTCAACAAGTATCGCCACTAATCCTTTATGAAAATTTTATACGAAGCTCTAAATGCTTTCTCATCAAAGTCCAATCAACGCAAAAGCTTTTATAATCAACTATCGATGTCTAGATTAGAAACAAGTGGAAAAGAAAAGTTTCGTGCATTTGGAAATGCTTCACAAACACATTTCACAGCGAAGACGAAGGCGAAAGCAGATTGAAGTGTAGCATAATATTCATGTCAAATAAAATCAAACCCAACCCATGGAGTTGTTCTCGACCGACCCCCACAAGATCTTCCACGTCTTTCTCGTCTCTTATTCAGAACTTCGATCCATAATGACATTACCATCACATTTTCCACAAAAGTCCCAAGAGTTAAAGTTTACGTTTTTCATGTCGTTTTCGTTTTCTTCTCTCTTCTCCATATTAATTCGACTTTCGATTCTATGCCAAGCTCGAGTCGAGTATTGGAAACTGTTTGGATAACAATTTTCGGGACGGATGGTTCGAGGGCGAAAGGTGGCGATTGAGTCGGAAGTGTGGGTGGCAAGTTGGAGAAAATGTAACGAGACAGATGGGAATGACAAAAAACTGATTGGACAGTATAGACATCAACTATAAAGTGAGAGAAAGAGAAACGAGTGAGCGACGTTTTGCACAATAATTTATCAAAGTTTTGCTTTATTTTATGTTTCAAACATTTTTCTTCTTCCAAAATGTTTTTCCTGTGCATTTTCTTTGAATTGTGATTTTGAGACATTTTCCTGAAGAAGTTCTTCTTCATGGAAGCATTCTGGTGCATTCTGGCGAGCTGTTTATCAACAACAAGATGAAGTATCGTTAAACTAAGAAGCCATAATAAATCTTTATTCATGACGCTGTTAAATTTCGAAAATTTCCTTCAAACGATGCATTAAAAAATGCTTTTGCTTTCAAGCATTTCTTCAATTCTTCTTTGCTGCTTCCCAACGCCAGCACCAGCGCCAACGACGACTATAAAAACCTGTCACCATGTCATAATGATTCATACTTGCCTTCGTCTCTTTCCCTTCCACATACTCTCTTGCAACTCCGATACAATGGACATCTGCTAACACCATCAATATTTATTGAATATGTCAATTTTATTGAAGAAAACTTTTTCTCAGACGACACAAAAAGGGGAAAGAGAAAGGAAAAGGAAAATTCTGAAAAATCTCGTGAAATATTTTTCAATAAATCACAGTCAAGAGAGAAAAGTTTATTGAAGACTGGACAAAGTATGGAGGGATGTGGGGCATGAGGCGTGGGAGTTTAAAACTAGGAAACAGAATTGTGATGAATCAATTCGTGAGACATGATGAGACGCTTTTAAAAAGTCGTCACGTTCTCCAGGAAATGTCTCGGGGATTTGTTAATTATGCAACATTACTTCATAATTTATTATTCTTTAATTGACCACATTCAGCCTCGGACATCATCAGCAACCACAAAAACATGAAGGGAGACGCGCAACGAGACTGAATTAAAAGACGACATCATATTATGTGGTTGACATGTTTTCTCTTTCCATTTAGCTCACGTATTCACAAGTCAAGAGTGACAGCGACAGTTTTCAAAAAAGGATTCGTTTTCTTGTCATTTCTTGACTGTCGTCAAATGGAATATTTCACGTCCTGCATGACGAGATTAATTAATCGCAAATGAAGCTGATGAGTGATTCTTAACATTCACCCACATCAACCCACTCAATTATATTTTCCTTTCTCTTTCTCTCTTTCACCTCTAAACTTCTGAATTCTGATGATGTTGGAAAACGATGACGAACATCCACATTTGTTATTTGTTGTGAAAATTAGAAAATTTCCCAATGCCATCAACCTCGCACCATCATTCTCATCTTTTTTATGTCATTCAAGTTTCATTGTTGCAAAAGTCTTAGTTTTGTCTTTCACAATTTTTGATGTCATGTCTCATATTGATGGCTATGATGAAAAATAGAAAGAACTGAGATGTGAGTGAGGGTGGTAGGGAGAGAGAGAGGGAAAGATGAAATTTCCCAATCAATACGAAATTGAACGAACATGACTTTTGAGATATTGATGGTTTTCAATATTTTTTGTTTTCTCTTCGCTGCTTTTGTCTGTCATGAAAAAGAGAACTTTTCATTTCTTTCTTGTATTGTTGCGATTTTTCTCATTGGAAACTTTTATTTTCCATTTTTGGTCGAAAACTATTTCGAAACAAGAAGTATGATGAGATAGAGAACGCTTGTTTCATGTTACATCAAATGACAGACGAGAGTTTTTTTTTGTTGAACTCAAAAACACAAAGAATCTTTTATTTTCTTTAAATAATTCCTGATTGAATGCCACATATGTCCATTAATAACTTTCGTTGTCACTTTCTGCATCTATCGATTTAATAAATCATGCTCAAGCACTTTACAAAAGTCGTGTCAAATTCAAACTCAAAAATGATTTTTTTATGATTTTTATAACCGCAACAGCTGCCTCCCACTCGTTTTTTTGTAAATATTCTTATCTCGACCGATAGATTAAACGTGATATTTGCAAAACCTTTTCATTATCTCACAGTCAAATGTTGTTGTAAATACTGCGATAAAAATAACTTTTGTGGACGTTTTTTCTTCCCCAGTCATTTATTAAACTCACGTTGAGTGAATTGCCTTTAACCAGACTTCATTTCATCGTGACTTTGGTGTAACTTGTGATGCAATTAGAAGCTTTTGACTGCTTGTGACAATGAATAAGTTATTGAATCGACTATGAAAAAGATGTACGCGAAACTTTTTCTAATAATTTTTTTTGTGATAATTTCATTTAATCAAATCAACTGCAACTACACGAACAACGATATTTCAAATGGATTGAATGAAGGTAAAGATATCAGTGAAGGTCCCACCAAAAGTTCTTACGAAGGTGAAATTAACATAATCAAACATTTGAAAAGTGAAGTTTTTTTTACAATATCCACATAGGAAAAGATTTTTTTTAACTTATCGCACAAAAACACTCAATTGCTTGTTGTCACGATGGAATAAGTTCCCAATCTGATAAGAATTAATCTTATCATGTAATATAAAAAAAATATTGTAAAACGAAATTTATAAATTTTCGTAATGATTTCATTTCTTTTTTGTGAATTTCAGACCACGAAGATTCTAACGTAAATGAATCTTGTCCTTGCGAGGGTCAAGGATGTCATCCACTTTGCATGAAAGATGAAGACACGTGAGTAACAAACTCACTTCCTTACTTATTGTTTCTTATTTTTGTTTCTGTTTAAGATCGCTTGGAATGTTATTTATGTTAACCGCTAGTCAAGTCATTCTTGCAACTGCAATAATTATGGGAATTTCTGCTGTTATCACAATCATTTTAAGAGTCTGTTCTCGTACTCGATTCCAGAGAAATACTCAAAACTTAACAAATATTCCTGATGAATTCCAACGAACTGGAATAAGAGCTTCATTAACTTCACTTCAACAGCGGGTCATGTCGAAACTTCGAGATCGTCCTCCACGATATGAAACCAGACATAATTATGAGTTTCAAAGGAGACAAAGAAATAACACAAGAATTCCGATTCTTAATCCTGGTGCGGTAACATCAACAGTAAACATTCCACCTCCAGCATATGAAGTGGGTGACAACAATTCGGTTAGTTCGTCTTTTATTTCCAACTTCTCGTTCTGAAATTATTAATTTTATGAATCTTTAAGGCAAGCGAACTTCCACCAACATATACAATCGCTATTGAGGATACTGGAGGTGTTCTGAATCAACCTTTGCCAATTGATGAGAGAGAAACTACAAACGAAAATGATATTAGCAGGAATAGAACGACTGATAATGTTCTGCATATTTAAAGTTTAGGAATTTATTTTGACAAATTTTGTTAATGTTTTGTATTATTTAAAAAGGAAAAGAAGTAAACAAATCTTTAGAATTAGAATGTAAATAGAAATTTGGTTTATTTATATAGTGAAATTAAAATTTAATCTTAAAATGTTTAAAAATGTTCTTAAAGAATCGACGATAATTGAATTCATCGACAAACCTACAAACATTTCATAGGGATGTCGCTTAATAAAATTCAATGCTTTCCTTAATTTAAGCATAGCATTCACATGGTCAATCTCCAACCCTCAATGTTGAGCATACTTACCAACCCAATTCACATCCCAACTTAAATCTTTTTCTCATAAAGAGATTTTAAAATTTCCTTTCCTGTGTCGCTAATTATCATTGCAGCGTCTTTAGTAAAAATATTGTCGTCTGGATGTGACTCAGGGAATCTCAACGTAAACGCTTCAAATAAGAAAGGGTTGAACACGGAAAGTAGAAAAAGGAAGTTTTCTTTCACGATTTCAACTTAATTCAATTTTTATCTTGCAGCATTAATCTATTTGAAATGTTCTTCCAGCGTGTAATTAGAAATGAAATTCATACCTTTAAGGTAATTAAAATATTATTCTATGAAATGAAGTTTTCTGATTGTGGAAAGTTGTTGATGATGGCAGTGAATGTCGAAAGAATTTTATTTTAAAATTTTTCGTTGATTCCGACAATTTAATTTCATTGTTTCCCTTTCGAGATCTCGCGGTGAATTGAAATTTAAAGTTTTAGGAAGTTTAATTCTTCTATTTATGAGAAGAAGAAAGTCTGGGAATTGAAAATATTTCAATCGATTTTAGTTGTTCATATGCCGATTCCAATTTATACTCAAATATTTTAAATGTGATTTGTGGAATATTTAAACATTTTTCTAGGTCATTCACTTAGAACATATGCAAAGTATTAGAAACATGAAAATGCTTATCTTCCATTCAGATGACTTTCCCGAATATTTCCTTATAATCTGTCAAAACTTGTAAAGAAGTCAAAGTCACGTTGAAAGGGAAGAAACATTTTTATGAATGAAAAGATTAACAAATTCAAGTGCTTAAACAAAGTTCGATTATAAATAACAACAACGAATGAACTTCTGATGAAAATAGTGTTTGATGCCATTAACTTTGGTGCTGTTAATAATAAAGGTTGACAAGAACATCTCACAATGAATGCTCGTTACGATGACTGAGAAAATATTTCATTTCCTTTCTTCTCTTTTTAATCTTCTGATAAATTGTGCAACGTAATGATGGTCAGTGTCGCTCGTCAGATGTTGGTGTACCGTCGTCATAGAAGGAAAATTCATTCATTTACTGCACTCATTTCTGACATTATTTATTAACACTTCTCTCCTTTTCGTTTCAATCTTCAATCTCAAGTGTCAGTCAATCAGGGGATGAAGCAAAAGTGCCATTTCATTATTGATTCCTTCACGTCAGATTATTCATTTTTCTCATCCGTGGAGAAGCAAGCGAAGGAAAGTGTGAGAAGATGAGGAAAAACTTTCGAGCATTACGTGACTTCAATATCCCTGACATTAGTTTCCAACACTTTTCTCTCTGGCCATGATTGAACTTCACGTATCATCCGAAGACTTATCGATCAATCACCAGGTAAATGGCAAATAGAAGGGAAGGGAAAACTTTTTGCAAATCCCCAACTGAACAACATCATGCCATCATCATCTTTGGCTCAGAGACGAAAGAAAGCTCCGAAGGGGGTCGCTCGGTCGTTCATGAAACTTTGATGAAAATTCATTTTTCCATGAGAAGTGAAATCAAGGAATGAATGTGTGTACAAGCAAGGGTTGCGCAATAAATCATACTTCACTTAATTCCCTTCATAGTCTAATTTGCATGTGTTTAGAAAGAATTTAGAGCCAAATGAAAATGAAGATTAATTTGACAACAGCAGGTAAGTGAAAGTCGTTCTTCTTATAACAGTTTGAAGATGAGTTTCAGAGAACATCGCGATACTTGCAATTGCCAATCGCTTCTTTATAAGACTAAATACGAGTAAATTCCTCCAATCAAGATCATCGAGTCAGAGTCAAGTACATTTCCCATTTCCCTCCATTGCTTACAGCTCGACACAAGATTTTAAGTATCACAACTTCTTGAAATGGAAAGCCAACTCATGAAGAAGAAAATAAAAGCAAATTTATGGTCTCAGAAAGGATGAGAAATAGAAGAAAAAGAAGATGAGAAGAAAAGAAACTGCTGGCATAAATTATGCTTTGAACTTTTTAAACAATAAATTTAGGATCCATGTCTTCGTCGTTGAAGGATTTATGACAAATTTATTCTTTTATTACGGTGCAGTGTCTTTGCGCAATTCATATTCTCTGTTTCGGATGCTTTGCTTAATGTCCGTGAATAATTATCGTGAGTTTTGTCTTGCTTGTGTTGTGTCCGTGGAAGATCACGTTGCGTAATCGTTGACTTTTATCTGATTTGAAGACACCTTAGAATAGTAAGGAATGAACATAAATTAAGGGCAGATGTCAGGAATTATTGTGGCTAAACCATTTCCCCATCAACAAATTCTTCTTTTGTCCTTACTTGATGCCTCTGATGAGATGAATAATGTGCAGGAACTTCAACATCTATAAAGGTAACAAAACCAGACTGCAGGCGAACTTATGCGATTGTCAATCACATTAAATTAATGGACCATGTGATGCCATGCAATGTTTGAAAAGAGATCAAAAAGAAACAATTTTTGCAGTTGAAAAACAAACAGATTGCGTAATTCTCCATTCATCGATTTTGATTTATTATTGTAAATAACTCAAAAATGTTCGGTGACAATTGATAAACATTGAGAATTTACTGGAAATTCGTTTTATGAAGAAGTAAGTAAAATTGCGAAGCCCGAAAATTCTTCCAATCAATTTGATTTGTGAATTGATTTATAATCAGTTCGAAAAATGTTTATGACTTTGGATTTTAGTGCAACAATCGTGATATGATTTTTGGGAACCGTTCGAAGACGTTTTGCGTTTTATGATCGACATAAATCAAGTCACTTGACAACAGAGACCGGTGGTAGTTGGGAAAGAATTTATAAATAAAAGTTAAATGTCTGAAAGGAATTTTAACTCAACCTTGAATTTGTTTCTTTGAATCTTTCCTGACATTTATGACTGCAAAATTTGTTCAATTCAAACCTAACAGTATTTCCCTTTGTTGTTCTTTGTCTTACAGTTCAGAATTGAATCATCATTTGAAATCTTCACCAGCAGTGAAATTTGATTCTTGTGATGCGAATTCGACTGTGATCGACGTTCATCCAATTCACAACTCTAAAGGCAGTGGTATGTGACTTATAGGTTTGATTACAGCATAACATAAAATTAATTGAATGCCATAAATTATTTATTAAAAAAATCATTAAGCATTGTGTCAATGCCACAGAGAGAAATGTGCTGTGAATTAATTTTAGGGTGCAAAAATTTTGTAACTGAGATTAGGAAAAATATTTCTGATATTTAGTTTATAACTATTTTAGTGCGAAGCGCTGTAATATAAAAAGTAATAAATCACTGACTTGAAATTGCAACTGTTTATGATAAAACTTATTTCAAACACATGAGGAATTTTTATTTTAAAAATTTTATTAGCAAGCTTTTTAATTTTTCATACAAATTTAGATATCCATGTTGGATAGCAAGTTTTTTCAATTTCACAATTTGTTTAGAATAATTTAATGTTGCTTGAACATTTCTTTCAAAATATTTTATATTTTAGGTAATTTAACTAAAGCTGTTTTAAAACAAGAATATCTCATGAACATAATCTTCTACTTCCAAAATTTATTTTCTTCTCTTAAGCCAAAAGTTAATTTATGACATTTTGCACTTGTGCCCCGACTAACACTTTTCAACTGACTAAATAAATTTCCCTTCAAGAGAGAATTGAAACATTTGGTTCTCTTGTTTGCATGAATGTTTGTAACATGTTTGAATGTGTTGGTTATAGAGAGAGAGGAAATATTTTGGAGGGGAAAATTACGGAGGCAAAAATCTGATGAGAGAAAAATTTCATTGCCCAGCAAGATGAAATTTGTTTTAGTCAATTATTTACAAATAAACGTCTATACTTATATCTAGATTTACAAATTTCGATTATCATTCTCATGAGATCTGAAATGCAAAAATTTAAATGCATAAAAATTTATTAATTCTCAAGTTGAGGAAGTGAACAAAACTTACAAAACAAAAAGCTGAGCTAAATTCCTGTGAACGCACTGCACCGTTTAAATGTCAATCAACTTGACATTTTTATGTCATTCTCTTTCTGATATTTAATCTTTTACAGCTTCTCTTTATATACATACATAAGTATAACTTCAAAGTTAGTTGTTTGACAACATGGATTAGTATCAAGTAACAACAGAGTTAAGACTGATTTGGACAGCTTATTTAAATTTGTACATTAATTCGCTTTAGGATTTTCGCATTGTTTGACAGCTTCAATTATTGAACCATTTTTGGAGGAAATATGAAAACTATTGCTGTAAAATTATCAGATTTTGATATTCTACATATAAAAAGCATTCTTCGAAATCTAAGAAAAAATGAAACCAAATCCATAAAAATAATTTATTGTTATCATCAACATTTTTTCTAATATCAGGCAAACATTTCAGTCTTGCAATTTATTCGTTTTCCTTCTACTTTTCATCCACTTTTCGCATTATTCCTCCCATCATCCATAAATTAAGATCTTTTAATCATTCAAATAATCATAAAAATAACGAATCTACCGTATGGGGTTGAAATGGCAGTAGCTAGACGAAGCTGAAGGGGGAGATTGATATTTATGTGTGTTTGACCGAATGCTTTTCTTTCTCTATCCTTGAGTTATAAACAAGCTGCTTTTGTGTTCTCGTTCATTACACGAATGTGCGACGTCGTGAGTAGTTTGAGGTAAAAACTTGACACAAGAACATAAACTAAGTGGATGGATGGTCACGTATTAATGAAAGCTTAGTTTCGTTTTTTTCTCTGCTCATCTCTCTGATCAATCGTTTATTAAAGGGTCGCATGAGTAATGACGACGTAATTAGAAAAATATTTCACTTTGGATGTCTTGAAATTAATCTCACAATTTATCTTCAAGTATTTCTGATTGCAGTCATAATTAATTTTTATAAAAATTATTTCAAAAACTTCAAATCATGTCGCGAACTTTCCATAAAGTCACGTAACGAGCGATTTTCACATTAGCGACATCAACACAAACATTATGCAAATGAAGCATTAAGACTGAAAATGAAGTTTATGTTTATGCATGTTGAAGGCCATTTCGTTAACTTTTCCGGGCAATATTTCATATGCCATTGCAAGAGTTGCTTATGCTGGAGTTGGAAAACTGATGCATGTTTGTTGGTTGTATGTCAACACTCGTTATTCATCACTTGACTCGTCAAACAGGATGTCGCTTGACTTTATGAAACTTAAAAGTAAGTGCATGGAAAGAGAAAGAACTCACCGTTTAAGTCCAGTTTCATGGTCAATAAGTGTGACGGGAATATTACGCTCGAGATCATCGTGCGGCGAATCATTTGAATGTTGACGTGATAAGAGAAGTGAATGTGTTGAGAGACGATTTCGTGCATCTTTTGATCGTGGAATTGTTGCTTTCGACTTGATTAATGATGAAGTTGTGGTCGTTTGCACTTCGGGGACGTCCAAAGAGTTGCTTGAAGATGGACTTGCTGACCCTGTCGACAATTCATCCTTTTGGGCATCATTATTCTCGTTTATATTTACACCCTCTGCACCTTCATCTAGAAAGAAAGAAAGAAGAAGAAAATTCCCATGAAAAATCTTGGTCGAAAAAAAGAAGTGAAAGATTAATGACAATGGTCATCGACAGAACAGTTTAATTGAGAGATTGTGGGTGTTGCATGGATTTTCGTGCAATTCATGTCGAAGAAGATGTCTAAGGAAGTCCATCGGATGGATAATTAGTTCAAATTAATATCGAAAGGTTTCTTAAATTGGTCAAAACTCTCAACCTCGACACATTTTTCAAGAATGCTTGCATCTCGAAAGACTCATCGATCTTGTTACCAATTGATACGATAAAAATTTATTTGCTGCTACTGCAGGTATTTCAGACTTTGGCGAATTTAAACAGATTGATGTCGTTCAAAGATATTCCCAGAAATTATTTTCTTGACTCACTAACAACTTGTCAAATGAAGATTCGCTCAAACAGATTTTTCCACCGCTTATTCTGATAATCTCAAAGGTTCAGAATCAAGACAATAAAAATGTGAAAAGAAAGATTAAAGTTGAAGTCATTTCACCTTCCTTTCCTTCTTCATCTTGCTTATTATTGTCAACAGTTACTTTAAATTCCATGAATAACAATTGCAAGTGATAAGCGATAAGCAGGCGAATTTTTATGAAGTTTTTCCTTTGCCCATCCACTTCAGTCTCTTTACTTGCTTATAAATAGATATCAACACTTGCTTGTTCCAACGAAAGTGATTCAAAGATATGAAAGAAGGAAAAGGATGAAAATTAAAAGACAAGAAAAAGTGCTTTAGTTGCACAATCGAGAAAGTGAGATTTGCTTTGTTTAACATTCGCTTTATCTACGTCCATTGTTATTTTAATTTTATGTTTCGTGATCATAAAATTTTATTGATCGTTCATTCAAGAGACTTTACGTAGTTGAATTGAAGCCACTTGAGTTGAGGAAACGTTTATAAAAAGCTGCATGCGAAGTTCTCGATGCAAATCCATATTAACATAAACGTTCTACTACTGTTGCACAATTGAAGCTTTTATGCCACTGATTTATGTTGCGATTGTTCAATGAAGAAATTGAAAAAGTTTTAAACATCTTGGGAGAAGATTTCGACGAATCAAAAATGTTTATTTCATAAACTAAACGCACGCCCCTATTTGATGTCAACTTGCTTCGTTATTCTTTAGCTTAATTAACGGTGAAACGAAATTAATTAGACCACACAACTGCACTTTTATCTTTAACGCAATGAGGTTCTCAGTTAATATTTGATAAAGATACCAAACGCTCGAAAGCAATTTACAAAGTCAACAGAACGGCAGCATGAAAAGGGAATAAAAAACTGTTGAGATGACGTGAAGCTGTGTTGTTTCTAGCACAGTTTCAGTTAACTTACGTTAGCTGTTTAAACTATTCAACGTCTTACAGAGGAAACAAATGTAAACAGCGCCTTTTTGTGTAGCTAATGTGTTTGCTTGTGCAATGAATTGTCAAAGATATTTTCACTGTTCTTTGGCGGCATTCAATTGAAGCATTTAACGAACATTATGACTCAAGAGAATGGAAGACAAAAGCAGCGAATTTTAACTTATTTCCAAGGGTTTTTACCCAACAACAACAACAGCCAATCATCGGATTGATCGAAGTGCAAAACACTCATTCATCTTCTCATTCAACGTAATTAGTTGCATTAGCACCTTTTGGTAATTTATTTCACTAATTGATGTATCATCGGATGCTTGGAGAATTCAATCAAATATCGCAAAGTGAAAAGTTTTCTTCACAACAATCATAAGTTGTGCAAAATATCTCACAAGTTAAGGAATCATAATGTTGATCATTGTTTTGTGGCTTCTTTCTCTCTTCATGTCATTCGCATTCATTAATTCTGAGGTCAAGTCGAAGGAAGGAAAAGTTTGGTGAGTGTGTGGAAGAAATGCTTCTGCCTGCCTTCAAATTGATTCTCGATGAGAATTCTTTGCCTTTCCAAGAACTGCCTTGCCAATGTGTATTGTTTGTTGTACCTGCAACATACATTAATCCAATTGAATCACAATCACAAACATAAACTTCTTAAGCTTCTCTGGTTACTTCAATACACGTTGGTTAAGGCAGATCTGTATTTATCCTGTCCATTTATGAGAAGGAATTTATTTTCCGATTTAAAGCTCAAACTCACTCGCCTCTTGCTTCTTCCTTTTCCCATCTTGCTTCTTGCTTCTTACTGAGAAGGAAAGTTTGATAATTTTCCAATAAGACATTTAGGTAACCATAACTAAATAAGCCAACAGAAACCATAAATTATGCTCTGCGATTGTTTATTTGTTGGTTCCCTTGCTTCGCTCTCTACCGTCTTCTTGAATGCGTGCAATTTGAATAAAATGTTTATCAGCAACAATGCCATCAGAAAATATTTTTCCTCTCGTTCCCGTCTTTCAAGTCTCAATACTTTGCTTGTTGCAAGTTGTGTAAGTTGCAACAAAAGAAAAAACTTCTCTCGGTAGAGTAAAAAATTCTTTTCAACGAAAATTATTTAAAACAAATAAATAAATAAAATCATGTATCACGTTTTATTCGCGGAATTCATCGACATCTCAAGGATTGTTCCAATCGTGGCGGTGAATTGTAAAATGAGACTTTGCTTGTTTAAACTTTAATTGAAATCAGCGATACTTATGTTTAATGGAAGCTAATTTATGTGGAGTACGGTGGCAATATTCAAGGTGAGTTTTGTAATGAGAATTTGTTTCCATTAGAAAATATTTTCATCAATAAACTCGCTCAACACTTTTCAGATTTTAAACAAAAATTATGAAACGAGAAAATCAATAAAAGTTGAACAGCAAGAAACATTTTCTGCTTCATGCTTTACTCAGATAAATAAAAGAATTTGAAGTCGATTGAATGAACAACATTTGATGAGACGGATGACGACTTTTGACAAACATTAAACTGCTTTGACAGGCAATTGGAATGAGTAGTGACAACATTGTTATTCGATATTTTTCATAGAAGAGTCTCGCGTAGTTCAAAGCAGGTTTTGAGCTTCTGGTTGGTAGCTCTTAATCATCGGCACAACTTCGTCGTTGGTTTCTCGGAAGTGGGAAATGATCAAGACTGGTTTTGACTTTAGAGAAATTTGCCGTTAAGCTTATGCAATGAATAGCATCGAGAATCGCTTTTTTATGTTTAAATAAAGTCGACAGCGGAATCTCAATAATCAATCGATATCCTCAATCAAACATTTATCATTTGAATACAATCGGCAAATGCCAAACAAGTCATATTAATCACGAGCCTCATAAGTCGCGACAACTTTTCCCCATCAACGAACAAACATATCTCGCTGAGTCATTAATAAATGACATTATTCATTCTCACTTAACCATCGGTCATCTCCTCGAATTCGTCAATCACTGTCACCATGACGAGGTGACGCGTAATGGACATGTGGAGTCAAGTGATGGTCGACGATCGATTATTTAAAAATAAAACAACAAACAACATTACAGACTTAGCTTAAGTTTCAAAATAAATTAATCGAGCCTTCAATACAATAACTTGCATGAAGAAGTGGAGAAAGAGATAAAAGGGAAATAAAAACGTGAAAAGTGTGAGCTGTCAAATCAAATTCAATTCATCAAAATCATCATAATCATCATCGTCATGAGCGCCAATGAACAACGAAATGAAATTCTCAAGCCGATCAAGCAACTAAAAGATTCTCAAGTGCCATATCAATATTTCAAAAATATCAAAAGCAATCACAAATAACTCAACGCATTAATCTTGCGGAGGAAATGGAAGGCAATGGAGAAGCAAATAAAGAATAAATTGTTAAAGTATGAAAAGTGTTCGTTCGTTCGTAGATTTTGAGTGATTTATGTCAGTTGAGAAGCGTTTTTGATGGAAGACTTAGTTGAATATGTCGTAAACAATATTTTGTTCAATCAAATGTTTATGTTCTGCTTCATAGTCTACGGCAACAGGTTTCAACATTAAAACTCTAATCGACTCTCTCGTTGAGACTTTCAAACTCATTCAAATTCGGTGGCATTTGAAAATTTTAATTAATTAGCAAAACATCGAAATTCGCTGACATTTATCGCCTCAATGCAAATCGAAATCATTCAAAATCACTTTTGTGGTCTCATATCAATGAAATTGTGTTTGATTATTAATGTAATTAAATGGAAGTTGACTCTCAGATCGCGATGTTAGAAGTGTGTCAACATGAGAATTCTCATCATAATTTGCGCTTTGATATTCATCAGAAATGTTCGCAATGTTAGTTAAAAATAAACTGACTTAGATTTGACTCATCAAAAGTCTCAAAGCGATTTGGCTGTGTCGTTGTGAAGTGTTGTGAGATGAAAAGACGCCGGACGACAGAGTGAGACGTTATAATGCACAAATGAAAATTTATTAGGGCAAATTCCATTAATCAAATCCCACGTGAATTGTGTTTGAAGAAAGCAGACGAAATATCTAAGACGGCAATGTTCATGTTCATAATATCTACTTAAGTCAAGACTTTGGATGCAGTTTCAATTCATTTGCTTCGTACGAGACGACATCTAAACAGCCACATATGCAAATGACGAGAAACTGGTGACAGGTGTGCACTTTTAATTGAATTGCATTTCTCAGCTTTTCATCTCGACGATGTGATGTTGTGTCGCTCGCTTTCATCGTTGGAAAATGTGTGAAAAATAAATCATTTGTGACCAGAAAGTATTTTTTATCTGTTCTCACAAAGCAACTCGAGATTCGACCTAAATACTTCGGAATTTATGAGAAATGTCTTCGTGTAACTTTCGATAGAATAAAACAATCAGTTGATTGATTAAAACTCTCAATCGCATTCAAAACCGAATCATTATGACGATAATGAAATGCATGAAAATTCCTTCAATTCGATTTATGCAAATTTCCGTTCAACGACCACGTCTCATCGCCAAAATCATCGTCCAATGTCATCAATCGCTTCTTTCATAGCTGCTTATTATTTACTCACTTATTAGCATGCAAATATATTCGGCAAATCTTCAGTGACACTTTTTAGTTCCATTTGTGGTTCTTCATCGACGATTCTGTTGACGACGTCACAACTTTCAAATATAAATTTTCGATGAAGCATAAAAATATCTGAAAATCGTTTCATAATTCTTCAGATTAAGAATCTAACTCAGAAGACTCTCGAAATGAATAATTTTGGCTTTGGCATTTCAACGAATTTATCATCGGCAATAAATCGCCTTTGAATCGAAGATCGCCTCGACCATTCATCACGAAAATTTATCGATTGCCGCTCTTTGGAGATGATCTTCGTTGCTTTTCATTTAACTGCGTTTTAGTTTAGTTTTGGCGATTGAAAAGACATAAATTTATCTCGAAAAGAATGCAAATAAGTATGCAGACACTGCAGCTCCAAATAAAAACCTCGAAACTTGTTTCTTGTTTCGCTTTTCGTTGCTGAACTGAAGAAGTTCGATGAATTATTTGTGTTCCATCTCGTGATTTTGAAAGCCAAGTAAAGCACTCTGAAAGTCTTTGATTCAAATCATCGTCTTCTTACCCAGCCGAGTTGAGTCGGAAACATTCCACATGTGAATATCTTGGACGACGACGTCAAGCGTCTTTGTCCTATCGATATAAACTAATTGATTTTCCTTGTTCGTTTCACTCTTTTTGATTTTCTCGATACTCGTCTCACTCTTTCTGTTTGTTTATTTCTTTTCTTTCTTTGAGTCTCGTGAGACGACAATTAACAACATGAGAACTCTTTGAAAAACGCTTTCGATGATTGTTGTAATTAAATTTCCAATAACTTGAAAGCAATTAGCAATAATTTATTCACAGCAGAAATTTGCGTGAAAAAATGTTGTCAATCGCAAGTGAAGAAAATATTTTCGCCCGTCATCTGATATTTTATGAAATCATCGGAAGAACGAAGGAAAATGTGTACACAGCCTATCAATCCATCACGCAATTTCCAGACAAAAACTGTCAATCAATCAATCAACGTGTCAATCAAACGACAAAAAGCGATAAAGGGACGCAGAGAGCTCAAAATAAACACCAAGGGTGAATCTACCGTGTCGTCGTCTCTCTTTCGTTCGTTCCACCCAATCCACCTTCCCACCCACACCTTTCTATCTCTTCACTCTTCAATGTCCTGCAAGCAAGTAAATCTACTTCTTTCCAATATTCCTCAAAGTCACATTCAATCTTCAATCACATGACATGAAAGTCTCGAGAACGGATGAGAGAAAAGAAAAGTTTTTATTTTTAAAACTAATTAATTTCCATTTCATCTTTCTATGTCCCCGTCGCTTCGATTTTCATTGTTTCAAGCGATTCTGTCGAACGATTTTGTTGTACTCTTCACTTTTCCGTCTTCTTCCTTGTTTGATTGAAACCTTCAATGAAGGGAAAAAGTTTTTCTACTTCGTTCGTTCTTTCTTTTTTTTGCCACTGCTTCTCGTCTCTTCTCATTGAGTTTAATCAGATTGACATGACATTGTCAAATTCATGTACACATCAGAATCGATGGGGAGGAATGAAGAGCTCGAAACTTGTTGGGATGAAAAGGAAGATGAGCGAATAATTTTTTTATTTGTAGGTTTGATCAATTATCGAGACGAAAAGTTTTTTTGTTTTGGATTTTCTTGACTTTATTTATATTTGTGGTCGCCAGAGAAGAGAATTTTGAGGGGCAGTCGTGCTAGAAATTGTGGAGACTGTGCAGGGGAGAAATGTCGAGAGACATGAGTGAATAGATGAAATTTAATTATGTCTTTTGTGAGTGAAGGCAAAGCAGAGACAATCGACAAGTAGACAAAAGTCCATCATAAGATTTTATCTTCAAACCATTGCAGAGTTGAGGTAGAAGAGATTGTGTGGGTGGAAGAACTGAATTAGACTTTGAATGAAGTAGAACAATATTTTCTCTTCTTTGTTTTCATTGAGATAAATTGTGGAACGAGATGTGATCGAATGTCAAGACGAAGCAAGACAACTTAGATTGTCATTTTTGATTTGATTTTTTCTTGAAAGTTCCGAACTGAAAGACAAACAAATTTCTGCAGATTGCAACTTAAAATTGAATTAAAATCTTCCCCCAACCCAAAGGCCATCATGAACATTGTCACAAAACCACTGACAACGTTCCACTTCCCAAACCTGTCTGTCAATCGTCTTATCAACAGAATCACTTTCAATAATTAATACACGATTTCACATGTTCGGTGAAGTTAAGCAATGACAGCAATGCAGATTTTTGCAAACATTTTCGGTGCAATTGAGAGTGTCGATGGCTAATTTATGTTTCAACATGAATGTCGAGCGACTTTTGGTTTCATTTTTATTATTTTATTGATAAATCGAAGCCTTGGTAGCCTCGAGCTTTGAATTTTGCTTTCTCTCGCTTTCCGTTGCACAATTTTAAGGCAATAAAAATGATTTGTTCGAATGTGAAAATCGAATGCAATGTGGAGAGAACATTTCCTTCATTTCTTAGTCGATACTGTCAATTAATCATTCAACCAGCAGTAAATGTCGGATGTCTTAAAAGCTATGATTATGCAACTGCAGACTATCATTGTGCAGCAGCAAGTTTGGACTTAAATAATTACAGTGAATCAACGTCTTGTTCTAATTGTGAGCCTTTGATTCTTAACATTAAAAATAAGCAGTTTGATGAATTCATTTCAGTCACGAACAAATTAATTATCGATGCAACGATTACAACTCCAACGCTCGTAGTCAAAGTTTAAAAAGGGGAAGAAAACTTTGATTTAGGCGAAATTTCTTTGATTTCTTTGACATTTTATAACAAGCAAGTGAATAAAGCATTCAAATTGAGTAAAATGGGGACGACAATAAACAGAAAATAATTTCAAAGTGCTTCAACTTCAATCCAAGACTTGGTCTACATTTTATCACAAGTAAACATAAAAGCAGAAAATTCTTGTAGACATGAGAAGGGAGAATCGCAATTTACAATTCTTGCTTTGCTGTTTCGTAAGCTGATGGACATGGAAACATATGAGGGTGGCAGCCTTCAGGCTATGGTGTGTCGTCCGGTCTGCAACGGACCTGAATAGTCTTGACAGCTTCTGAGCTTCTGTTTGTGCTAATAAAAATGACAAACATAATTTCTTTCAAAACATTTTCCCAGCTTTTGTCTCTACTTCTTCTCAAACAAACTACTCTGACTGCTGACACTTTTCACAAACAATCAACTGAGAGATGGAAATCTCAAAAGAGTTGAAATTAAAAGACTCGAAGCTGTTCTTCCTTCTGTTCTGTTGTTGTGAGAATGTCCTTTAGTTGACAATTAAAAATAACTCGACCATCATTCATGATTATTCCTTGCACATTCATTTATGAACTTTCGTCTCGATGAACTTCACAGAGAAATTGTCAATGAAGAAAAATAACATCGAAGGAAATTTCTGCTTCGTTGCCACTTGCAACAGAATGTGGAGAAGTTTTCATCTTTCATTTCTCAACGTTTCTTGCCTTTTATGTATTTAGAAGCGCATTTCACAATTGTCATGATTGATTTCTTACGAGTGTGACACTTGAGATACTCACCTGCTGCTGCTGCTGCTGCTTCTATTGCAGAAGCTTCACTAGGTCATAATTTCTCATAAGTTATCCAATGACCATTGGCGAGTGAACAACCGTCAAAAGTCAATGAATTCTTATGGCAGTGCACAAAACGCATTTGAGAGTTCATTACATTCGTATTCGACGTTCTTTTAATCGAGTTTCATTCGAGAAGAGATTTTTAATCAACGTCTGAGACAATTCAACTCAAACTCTTTCTATTCATCTCCATCCATTCTGTTGTGGGTATAAAATGCTTTGCTGTCAATTCCATTTGTTTTCCATCTCTTGAGAAATGAACAAAATTTAAAAATTGCAATAATTTGACAAACTTTATAAATATTTAGAAAAGCTTCTTCAATCGATGCATCGTGTGGAGACGACAAAGAAGAAGTTGAAGGAAGAAATCTTTGGATTGGACACGGGAGACAATTTCCGAGAAGAAAAATGAATTTTGGAAGAAACGATTGGGAAGTTTGATTCAATCATGGCGTTTGTTTGGCAATTTAAGGACATTTTGAATTCAATAATGTTAGTTAAGTTAAACAAACTGTTCGTCGTTGTCATTGCTCAAATTAATTTAAATTACAAACTAATTCAACTCACCATTCTCTTCCTGATTGTTTATCCAACGATACGAGGGTCTCGGTTGCTGTTTTGATCGCATGATTTTCGTGTTTTATTTCCTTTGAATGTGCTTTCGTCTATCTGAAAATGAGTAAAGAGACAAGAAATTAATTAAATTATTGTTTCATTCATCAAGCGAAATATTAAAAATTTCAGTTTTGCTTCTCGAATATTAAAGAAATTTCCTTTCGACACAAATTAAAGAAGTAAGGAAAATCAATTGATCTCGCATGTATTCAGATCGTTAAGCATTCTAAACGTGGAAAGCTATTAAGGCGGGGGAGGAAAAGAAAGAAAAGCGTTTCTTGAACCCAGCAAACGGTGAAAGAATAAAAAAAATTCTTCCACATTCCAAAAGTCATTTTTTAGACTGTGTGAGAGTTGAACTCATCCAAGTCAGAGTTATAGAAAAATATTTCAAATTTCTTTCATTTACTTCAATCACTTCAATCACAGAAAATAATTTTGTGTCCACTTTCATTACAAATGAATTTGCTTTGAACAGAAATCGATTAACTGCCAACATCGAACTACAAACGTGTCGACATTTGAGTGATAAGCAACATAAATCAATCTTTATTTAGATCATCTGATGACATGCTACAATTAACGCATCACAATGAAGGCACATAACAACGGCTGATAAGCTCAATCGAATCAGAATCAAATAAAAACGAACATTTCGATAACAGCAAGAAATGTTTCTAAGACGAAGAATTATAATTAGAAGCGTCATTCGTGTTTATTAAACTGGTATAGAAATTACTTTCCTCACACTTCCATCATGTCACTCATTCATAACAGAACATTATTGATGGCTTTTTGTGTTGACAAAAATTGATTTCTCACTCGCCCGCTCTATCCATCCATCTATCTATCAGTCAACTTCATCCAACTACTTTATTCGCTTCCATTAAAATGCGCATCTTATTAAATGTCCCAAGCAATCACTCATAATTTTTGTGAGTGACACATGACAAGAACACATAACAGAAACCTGACCGTTTCTATTATTATGTGTCGTCGTCGTCATCGTCTTTTATATTTACTCAAACGAACTTTGGAAGCTAAGAGCGAACCCCCATGGGAGAATAAATCTTTATGGAGCGAGAAGAATTGTTGCACATACATCTTCCAACTTTGTGTTGTGTGTGTGTGTGAATGGATTTAGTGAGTGACATAAACTTACGAAACTTTGTGATGATGTAGAGAAGACCAAAAACGATTTTTGACATCTCATCAAGTGAATTGTGCTTGCGACAAAAGGGAAAACTTAAAACTATTGAAAGACGTTCGTTCGCTTCTTTGTTGTGTTAATATTGAACAATCCTTTTGATCTCTTAACAACAGATAAAGTTTTTAAACGCAAGAGATTTCATCGACTTTGTGATCTCGAATGAAAATTTTGTAATGGGAGAAAAATCGATTTTTCAGGTGAAAGAAGGCAAAAGTTTTTGTTTTTCATTTCGAGTTCATGTCTAAAGCAGATTATCGTAAGTTGGAGGAAGCAGTGAATGTAAAAATCATCAATTTACCAGCAGCTCCGATTCATTAATGATTCACTCTCCACTCATAAATCTTTCGTGGAGATTTTTTATCACTCATCATGGCAAAACAGCAGAAAATGATGAACCAGAAGAACGATGAGAAGCTCGAAGAAAAGTAATAAGCAAAAGACTTACAAGGAGAGATTGATTTATAGCTGACGTTTTGGCACTGAAACGTGATATTCCATTGGCTCAACGATTTATTCATTTCATAGTTAAGAATGTTTCAGGACGTTCAGCAGCATTGAAGAAAGAGAAGCACGAGAGATGAACACGAATTTTTTTCGGCATATCCAATGATGCTCATTTTCCTTCTTTTTTATTTTTTCATTAATACAACATAAAAGCCATCAAACACAATGAGCAGTCATGAAAAAATAATTTACGACCCATTCGTGAAATTTTAAAGAAAGAGTTGACCGACATCGTTAGTTAAAAGTGATAATCTGACGTAAGGAAAATCCATTAAACATAATTATTGAAATAATAAAATTCCAACAGCACATTGAATAAATTTAAACTTTTCTCGTCACAAAAATGATTCAAAACGATCAAAGGCTGAGTCAGACATGCATCGTTTTTATTCTTTCCCAAATGTTTTTATGTTTTCTTTCTACTTGCACCGACTTGCACTCAAAACTCGTGTGTGAGTGCAGTTTATGAGTAATCGAATAAATTATTTTGTCAACTGACGTGTTTACTTCACGGACGTATCGAGTTCGGTGCGTTATTTATTTCGTCTCATTACAATGTAATAAACTTGAAAACAAACGATACACGGGGGCGTCAGTGAGTGAACATCTAAACAGTACCACATTTTAAAACTTTTAAACATTCTTTGCTTCGTGTTGATTTGAATACAGCTGACACTTTGTCACTTTAGAGGGAAACTTACTCGCTCTGATCTTCATCATTACTTTTTGAGTAACATCACACAACACATGTCTTCCAACTTCCAAATCCTTCATTTATTTTCATACGCTATCTCTTCTTTTTCTTCCTGTTCTTTCTCCCATTTCACATAAGACTCGAATTTATAAATTTATTAAAGGAAGATTTATGACCGCACATTCTCGTATGGCATATGAACTTAAGTTGCGTAGATGGGAAAAGAAATTCATGTTTTTTTTTCGTTTTGTTTTTGTTTCAACTGTTTCGATTGAGGGACTTTTGACTTCATTTGAACGGACGCGGTTGATGTAAATATGTACAAAAAAACGAGTAGACGTGAACATGTAAACAACACTTAACTGAAACAAAGTATTCACGAAATAAATTAAAATTAAATGGTCATAATAATTGAAATATTCCCGCAGTTCACGATTAAAGTGTCTTCAAGCCTGTGTTATCAAAACAAAAGTATTCCAATTGAAACTTAAACATGAATTAATCAAAACGATACAGCACAAGTAAAGTGGAACATTTTTCCGAACCCGGTGTTCAACGTGGAATGAAAACATTTTCCACATGCGACATTTCTCGTTCGCTCCATAAATTCTCATCGTTCTCATCATTCATTCTCCGAGGTTTCAATCATTCTCAATTTTTGCACGCGCTGGTGTTTGTTTATTCCCCCACTTTTCGAGTGGATTTTCGTTCTCTATTTTAAGGATTATCAGAGCAGAGTTTTGGTATTAACTTTTGATTTTTATCTCTCGATGGTTAAGTTTAAGTTCCCTGTTTTATGTGCGTATATATTTTGATGATTTATGCTTCATTAGTTTAATGGCTGATCAAGATGTTAACGAGATTCATCAGAAAGAAGAAGAAATTGGAGAGAAGAAACATTTTTATAAAATCGTACAACTAATGCCATCTATTGATGTCCATCATAATTCATCAACTTCATCCTTAATCCAACGTCTTCTTTGTCCAACAACTTTTGTTTCTAATTTTTCATTTCTTTCATTATATTATCTAACGACAAAAATGAAGACATCAACTTGTAATGTGATCATCTTGGAAGAGATTTCGAGTATTTAACAAAAGGTTTTTGACTTTTGAGTTGTGTTGAAATTTCGAAAAGTTTCTTTCGTTGACGAAACGATAAAAGCAACCAACGCAAGGAAATTCATCGCGTCAATAAGCAAAAGACATCAATCTGAATTAAAGAGAAACCAGCACCGAGCAAATGTTTAAAATGACATAAAAAATATATTCCATTCGCTCTCAGACGAAGATTGAATGATTTACTGTTGTCAGAAGATCTCTAAAAATACTTTTATGACGATATTTTTTCAGCATCAGCTTTAATGGGTGTTGATGACCAATTTATGATGTTTTATTACACTCGCTTTGAGTGTTCATAAATTAATGATAAAAAACATTCTTCTCGATACATTTTCGCGGCTCAAGAATAAATCAAGCTGAACAACAAATAAATAACAAATAAAATGTGGAGTATCAAAGATGTTCCTTACAAATTAAACTTGAAATTGGAAATCAAAAGTTATGCAATTTATCAAAAGTTTAAAAGTTCTCTTTTTTATTACTCAATTATGATTGAAACTTTTCATTATTTTGTATTCGTTTGCATGCTTCGGGCAATCATTTAGTATTTGAAAGAATCAACGGGGAATCGACAGTTGATTATTTTATGGCGAACAGTAATTCTTGCCTTACATGAACAATGTTAAGTTAAAGAAATTTCCTTCCATGCACTTTCGTGGTGCTGGTGCAAGTCTTGCATATTCAAAATATTTTCCTTCCATGATCAATCACTGTGCAATGTACAAATGAAATCATGCAATAAGTGACTTGGAGACATAAATAACAAATGTTTCATGTTGCAATTAAACTCGTGTCGTATTAAAATCAGAACATTTCATGTCCTTCAACTTCTTCACTCATTACGACACGACAGACATTTGTGATATCTTCTTTTGTTGAACATCGAGCATCATTTTCTTCCATCTGATGCTAGTTACTACTCGGCTTCCAACTAATTTATTGGTCATGTGAAGACGTCAACCATCTTTCTTTATCTACAAATTCTTTTACATCGAAAAGCGATCTATCGAATTGAAAGACTGGTTTCATCGTTGCTGCTTCTTCTTCATTCTTTATTCTTCTTCGATCACCGTTTTCTTTCTTCACCGTTCGTAGCAATAGCCATAATCAATCCTTGTCACTTCCTTTTGACACAAAATATGTTCATTGTGTGTAGTTGGATTGAAGCAGAAAAAAAGAGAAATAAGAAAAGAAAAAGATCCAAAATCATAAGACGAAGATTTAACGAATGTTGTAAAAGAGAGAAACAACAAGAAGAACAGAAAAGTCTGATTGGTCGGTTATTATTAAAAACCAATCACCCAATCAGATCAATATAATTACAGAATAGTAAGAAAAATGATCGGCAATTAATCAATCTTTTGAGTTCTTTTGAATTCTTGATCATGGAAACTTTTCTAAAACAAAAACTGAGAAAACGAGAAGCTTCAGTTTTGCCGCACGTCAATTGAAAGACCGAAGACTCAAACTAAGGTCATTCGTGTTAGAAGAGTCAAAGATACTCGAATGTCTCAACAATTCAATTCTCTTTCCTTAATTAATTCCATTTCCATGCATCATCAGCCATCTTCGTGTTGTTGGCAAACATTCTTCGTCTTCTTCCATCTTTACACTTTCAAATGAACGAAACGGTCAGCAAAGATGCAAAAGAAAAGAAATGTTCCGATCGATATTGCATTAATTGCATTTGCCTTGTTCTTATTTCGTTTCATTTTATTAATTTGATAAAAATCTTCGACTTTTCATTGCTTTGACTCAATCGTTGCATGCAAAGTGAAGTTTTGTTTTGTTTTTTTTCGTCTTCACCATGTCCACGATGTAAATTATTATTTTAATAACAGCAAGAGAGTAGAGAAGAACAGAAACGCGAATTGTGCAGTCAATCGCTTCATGTTTATCTTCAACCGAAGCGTTTCGCGTTTCAAAATGTTGTCGTGAAGCTGCATCCAACTTCAACCGAGACGATTTGAAACTTGTTTAGGTGGACGTGTGGAAAAGAATGAAAGAAGGTGACATGTTTGAAGCCGGGAAGGAATTTTGTTTCTCATTCAGATCTTTGCCATTTTTATTTATTTAATCATCATTTTTGAACCCCAGCTAAGTTAAGAGGATACGCTGTGCTGTCACATAATTATTTCTCTTTCGTTTTTTAATCTTTTAGTATCCAACAATACTTTTGCTATAAATATCACTAAAATTTCATATTCAGTTTATTTATCAAAATATTTCATACACAGCAACAACGAATGATCCACAAGTGTCAACTGCCGTCGGTTCTTCGACTTTCTTTTTTTCTTTTATTCTCGTCTCGTTGTCTTCTCTCTTCGTTTAAAGATCTTTAAATTAATAATTATTCAGTTGAATAATTTTGTTTTATTCCAGTTACGTAAGTTGTACTTTAAGTAAAGCTGGGACAATAAAAAGTATTAAGAAACCTTTCTTGATAATTTCATACAGATAAGGTCTGACCAAAACTGACATCGTCCCAACTCGAATAAAGAAAATTTAAAGAGCGAAGAATGACTTTAAGTTGATTCGAATTTAAAAACCTTTTTCTATTTATTTAAAGCAAAAATATTTTTTANTTTATTTATTTAATCATCATTTTTGAACCCCAGCTAAGTTAAGAGGATACGCTGTGCTGTCACATAATTATTTCTCTTTCGTTTTTCAATCTTCTAGAACCGAACGATATTTAAATTACTTTCAAACAAGCAGATAAATAAAAATAAATGCTTTCTTAGACATGTCTCAAGTTTTAAAATATAAAAATTTTCTCTTAAGACACAAAGCCACTCAAAAACTGGTTCTCGACTGTTTACGAGAAATCTCAATCCACTTCTTTTCAAACTAATTAGCGAATTAACATTTTTATAGATGACATCGCCGGCCATAACTTTGGATTCCATCACAGGTTTTCTCTTGCTATGCAGTTTAAATCTTTATTGACTTTTATGAGATCATATTCAACGTGATTTACGTGACAAAAGCTTATTTTGTTATCATGACTATCTAAAATAACTCTTAAGTTATACTCGTCCATCCATTAAAATTCTATAATGATGATCTCATCGATATCCACGATCATTAATCGTATTAATTTGAATTTCCCGGCTGGCAAATTCAAACTGGAAGATTATAATCGTGAATAAGAATCAGTTAACATTAATCCAGATCCAATTAAAAACACTTCTCTAATAAAGCTGGTCTTAAATTTACGTAATTAACTTAAACGATGCTGCATGAAATTTTTTTCTTGTTCCAATATTTGTCACAGTTATGTTTGCCATACAAAAACTAGTTTGATAAGATGACACAAATTTATCGAATCAAATTTAATTTCGAGCAAGCAGCAAATGGCTACAGTTTAATTACAGCAATCCAATGGTTATGATTGTTATTAATTTTAATTTAGCACTTTCTGAATGCACACTGAACTCAAATTTCAATCGAATCAATTAATTTACAAACACGTTGCATATGTGTCAAAGAAGCATTTTGAATGAAACAGAATCTTCAATAATTCACAATAATCGCCTATAATTCAAAGCTTGGAGACAAAGTGAAATACAAACAAGCATTTCACAACATCACTAACGACCATTTGAGTGAAATATGATCGAATTTCTTACAAAATGTCTGTGTGCTTGTCTTTGCTTCGAAGTTCGAACCCGCTTTTTTTTTGTCAGAAGAAGATTAATTGCATTCCATTTTGGACATCACTGCTTGTCTTTCATGTGAATTTTTTCTTTCATATTTTTCTGGGGTGCACGAGATCGTTTTGTACTATTCAGTAACGACACTAACATTAGGGTCGGAGCAGCAAACACATGCCTCATTTTCACATACATCTACTTAGTTAGAATACATGAAAAATGTTACACTTGTGTAGTTCTCAAATCTTTAGATCGTTCGTGAACAGATGACTTGAAGATACTTCACCGAAAACGAGACATATGTCACTGCCAAGTCCCAATGAAGTATAAACAGAACATTTAACTTAACTTTTGAGACATTTTCAACTTCAATTAACTTTTCATTAATAAATATTCATTTAGTTGATATTGAGATTAGATTTTTATCTAAATGAAAAATTCATCGTTGAGAACTTCAAACGAGATAAGATTAAAGTGATTATTGATAAATAAATATTACATTTCATATGAAAATAATTATTCTTCATTATTTATTCTAAATTTCAATGTCATTTGACGAGAAGTTTAATTTTTCTTTTCCTAGAACACCACAAAACTTTCTGCTTCATCACTCCAACCCTGATGTTACTTAAATTCTTTTTTACCAACATAAACTTTAGATTTCAACATTGACATCCATTAATATAATATATAAAATAATTCAGCCATTTTAAGATTTTTTTCTCTTACACAATATCATAAACACTCCAATCAATTCACAAGCCGTCGATATTTAAACAGAAGCGAGAAGAAAAATCACTTGAATATAAATTTCGCAATTTACCTGTTTATTGAAGCTTATAACTAAACAGATCGAGATTTGTTTTTCCACCGACCAAAAGCTTCTCATCGCCTAAATTAATTTCAATTTGCTGTTTTCATGGCACAATAAAGCATGTTAGATCGTCGCGTCTGGGATCTCAAATCATATAGCACACATGTATGTATAACACTTCTTTGATTCAGATGAAAACTAATTCACAGATAATTTTCCTCTTCAAGTTTTCCTTCTTATTTTTCCTCTCGTATACTTTATATTTTTCTAATTTCTTTAAGATTTCAATTAACGGACAAATTTCATTAATTCACACTAATTAATTATTTCATCTTCTCGCGCTTTTTTCTTTCTTCGAGAAAAACCAAAGTGGAATAAAAACACCAAAGTGAAAAATCACTTCTGTCAGATTTCTATAAATAACTTTTGATTTCTCATTTAATTAATAAGATGCTCGCCTCGTTGGATTAAGAATTGGTTTATTTATAATTCCTTAATGAATTGTTAGCATATACACAAAATATTCACATCTTTTGATTCATATAAAAATAGATAATTAATTCTTCTTCCTTTTTCTTGGATTTTCTCTCGCGATTTTCACTCATCTGACGTCACTTTGATTTTCCATTCTCATTCGGCATTTAACTTTCTTACTGAAAACATGTCGTTTTGCTTATCATTATTTTAATATCACAATCGATGGCAATCGATAATCTGTATTAGCGGATTAATTTTCCAGACACATTCAAACAGTATCGCATTTTCCCCACGACAAATCGTGAAATCAAAAGCTGTGAGGGATTTTCCTTCTGCACCTGTGATGAACACCTTTTTACTCTTTTTTTCTGCCTTATAAAATACCGCGCGCGACAGTACAAGTCTCTCTCGCCAAACAAAAAAACACTGACTAAAAATAAGAAATGCTGAATGCTTTCCGGCCTTCGTTGGCTGACTTTCCTTGCACAATCACTCAGCAAAGCAATCACACATTGAAACAATCAGCAAGCAACATTGAGATATCTTTTGGATGTATGCTTCGCATATGCTTTGATAGTGTTTCCATTATGACACACACACACACACTTCTACAAAACGTAATCGCTTCAATTTTTTGCAATCACATCGCACTGCGACTCTTTAACTTGTTTTTTTCTTTATTTTTTCCTTCTTTGCAATGTGATTTTCTTTTCAATTCTGTTTTGGCATTAAAACATTCAGTAAAACAATGGAAGCGAAAATAAAATTGAATACATATTTTCTTAATTTAACATTATTTCTCGTTCTGCTTTTGTTACATGCTTCGCTATTCAAATGTCATTTATTTTTGTTTTTTTTTGTCGCGATGTAGCCTTTTTAGTCCCATGACATGCAAAGGTGGAGCAAATCAATTGCTGCTACCAAAAGATTTCTGCTGCGATTTCTTGCATTCGATTTGTTCATTATTGTTTAAAATCCACCATTTTTCCTTTTTTATTGAATTTTATTATTAAAATAAAGTAAGGAATAAAAGTTTTTTCTTTCTGTGGACAAAAAAAAAACAAAATCGATGCCGACAAAAAGTTTCTCATAAAAGTTTTTCTAACTGAATTTTTTTACGACTTCTAAAGTATCTTGAACTTTGATTTCTTGAATTTTAAGAATAATTTTTTTTTTTCTTAAAACTCCAACAAAACATTTTGTTAAAGAAATTCCGCTCACAATCAAGATTCTTCTTTTTTTCGCCTGCGACACATTCAATTAAAACAATCCGGGTCGATTGACGAGACGACGAGGAATCGAATGACGAGAAAGGCAAAACGCCTGCGAGTAAGCCATCAAAGGTGGAGCTAAGAAATAATAAAAACATCAGCAGCAAAAGTATTTTCCTTCTTTGCGCCTTTTGCCGCATTTGATTTTCACAATATAATAGTTTTTGACAAATGATTTATTGCTAATGATATGGCGTCATAAAAAAAGTTATTTTCTTCTTCTTTATTTTCCATCATGTCTGGTTTAACTAGAGAGGTCATTTTATGAGATGGCTGCGGCTTATTCTAATATCCTGCACTTGATGTCGGTTGCATAAGGGTAGAGAAGGGAGAAACATCGCCCTATGCTTAATGGATGAACATCAACTGCTATTTGTGCTTTACCATTTCAAGACACTCACTCACTAATACAAATCTAGAATTAATCAATTTTTATTGATAGTTGAAAATGAAATGACTTCATTTCTACCTCTTCATTCAATTCATTTTTTAACCTATTCAGTGAAATATTTAACTATTTATAAACTGAGAAAAGTTTTCAATGTAATACAGGAACAGCATGTCAATTTTTATTTCCACCTTGCCTCCTTATAAGTTATTCTGATTGTTATTTTTTATTTTTATTTCTTAATATTGTTACCAACATTTGACTCTGCTTCTTTACGACAAATAGACACGCGAATCAAAAAAAATAAGTTTATATATAATAATGATATTCTCTCTTTGATGTCGCTACAGCTTAAAGATGGTCGTTTGCCGATTCGAATCAAATGTCGCCTCCAACATTCACAGGTTTTTGACTTCTTGATAATCGCCAATATTTTACTCGTAAATGTGACCGCAGATTTTACATTTTTTTCAATCAACCTCGTCATGTTAGTCAACACGAGGTATTTAAATTATTTGATGCATTTAAAGCGTTGAAATATTATTCGACTCAATTAGAATAAATCATTGTGGAGATTTGACGGATTCATTACTTATGCGGGGGAGAACTTGAAAATATCTTTTTATTAAAGAAGAAAAATGATCACTTGCTGAATGATAAAGCTGTAAAAACGCCCTTGAAGAAATATTAAATGCACTTCTTCTGATGTCCTTATTTATGACAATTTGCAAGATGTAACAGAGAAATTTTGTTTCTTCACTTCCTCATGTTGAGAACAATAGCAAGAGACTTTCTATTTTGACCATGAAATCTCCAACTGTGAGAACAACAGATCCTTAACATGAATTGTGCAATTCAAAAATTTAAATAGTCAATTTTTTGTTAAAGTCATGACAAATGTCATACGAGATGACAAATTAAAATCATGGCGATGAAAAATATTTGAAAATTTTCGAATGCATTTACATAAATTATCCAATAAATTTGCAAGACGTAAAACAAAACATCAAACCGGTTTCAAAACAAAAAGTTGTTGCTTTAAATCTTGTTCTTGTATTTAATTTAAATTTGTGAAGGGAGAAGTTTAATTTCAATAAGCTGCAAGAAAATTACCACTACGTAACCAGTCAGACTGAAGTAGCTTTCTAAATACGCACACATTTTGCAGTTTCAAGGTCACGCATGAAACTTTAATCAATATTCTCTTGTGAAAATGGTTCGAGAGTTCAGCGCAAGTTGTCTTAAGCATCGGGCAATAAAATGAAATTTTTATTACGAAGCTGAGAAAAATCGATTTTCCTCTCGTAAGAAAACAGCTGAAATTTTATGGTTAACACTGACTCGCGAAAATCATTTTAAGCGCCAATGTTGTGTATGAGAAATGTAAGTGTCAGTTGCAAAACATTTTTTTTCTTTCAGCTTTCTCAGGCATGTGCGTTAAGTGCGGCGAGTGATTTCAATTCTTCGTTTTATTTATAAAAAAAAATTTGACACGATTGCACTCGAGTTTCCGATACATAAGCGTTTTAATGATGTTAAACTTATTTATTCACCGAAAGGAAATGTTTGTGAAAACAAGAAAAATAGTAGCGCAAACATGCACAAACACACACACACACACCAACATGCTTTTCAATGCGATTGTGTTAATGCGCAATTCTCCCCCGACACATCACATAGCAGAATTAAACGCTTTCGTTTCGTATCCATCGTAACAGGATATCAACATTTTTCTCTTCTTGTCTCAGATTTGCGTTCGTTCGCTTCTTTCTTCTTTTCGCAGCTTTGAGAAGATGTCAAAATTGACACAGAAAGGAGGAGCGAATCAAAATGCGAGAAAAGTGAAAAGAAGAATTTTTATTCATGTTTTGCGCTTTATATTTTTCTTTTCCTTCTGATTTATCTATTTATGAAATTTATGTTGAAGAATTGCTTTTAATCTTCGAGATCAAAAAGGTTTTCATTTAAATTTTTTAATGAAGAAAATTTATAAAAAATTGTCTGAATTTATTTGTTTTCAAAGAAAACTTTGTGAATTTAAAGTTTTTCTTCACTCGTCACGTCAATGTCGCGTCAATGTTTCGTCTCTTACATTGTCAATCTGATGTTGATGTTTCACTCGTCATCATTGAATGAAAACATTGACGAATGAAACACAATTATGAAACGCCTTCGAGGTGGAGCCAGAGAAATATAATGAAAACAACACATCAACATACATTTCCATGCTACATCACATCGGTCGGAGCTCGTCGAAAAAAGCATGAGAAATCATAAATACATCACATAAATGTTGACAGATGATGGATTATTTATTGTTATTGTAATGGTATGGCGTCGCTAGGAAAGGCAAATGGCAAACTTCATTGCTGTAATAAGCTACGCTTGCTAGCATTATTGTTCTTTATTTTGAGCATATTTCTGTTGTTAGTTGAAATGAAAAATGCTTCTGACGACTTTCTTTGTGCTAAGTCAAAATGATTTTTCAACCCTAAAACAGCAACAGAAATGAAAATGTTTTCGAAGGAAAAAACTAACACAAGCTCAACTTGATGGTGTGCAAAGCCAGCGAGTCATTAACCTCAGGCGCTGAACACTTTTCACACATATGGATGAGAAGAAGAATCAAAAGCAGGTAGCCCCGAACGCAAAATTTCACAGCNTCAATTTTTTATCGTGTCTTTGCATACATTAATCTTGATATTAACCACGATTTCTTGATTTGGATCGATAAGAAAGGACATCTTCGATGCTTCGCTAAAAAAATCAATCTTAGATGAACAGAAAATTTTAAATGAGTTATTGTGATTAATAGTTTCATTTCTTAATATCAAATGTGCCAAAAATTTAATCTTTTTTATCTTATAACTTATAGCAAACAAAATTGAAGTCATAATTATCACAACTTAGACTTCCTTTAATAATATAAATCACGTATCGTTACAATTCCATGATATTTACATATTAAAGTGATTCTAAATCATTGAACTAAAATATTTCTAATTTTCGTCAAATACTTTAGAAATATGCAATTTACAAAGTTTCAAACTCAAAAACTGCAAACTGTTAAAGAGAAATTTCACTTCTTGACTTCCTCATGTTTAGAACAATAGCAAGAGACTTTCTATTTTGACCATGAAGTCTCCAACTGTGAGAATAACAGAACTTTAACATGAATTGTGTATAACTGAAAGAATAGTCAACATTTCAAGCCGTGACAAATACCATAAGAGATGACATATTAAAGTTGTTCGACTAAAGGAAAATATTTGGGAATTTTCGAATGCATCTACATAAATTATCCAAGAAATTTGCATGTCGTAAAACAAAACATTAAACCGGTTTCACACAAAAAAGTGACTTCTGCTTTAAAACTTGTTATTTTCTTTACTTTAAATGGAGAAGCCGAATTTTAATGCAATACAAGAGGCTTGACAGGTAAAATTCAGAGAAGGTATCAAATATCTTCCTAAGAGTAATTTTGATTGATTTGTCAAACAAGAATATCATTGGAAACTTTTTAATTTCATCCAAATTATGACTTTTAAGTTTATAATAATTAAAATGTTTTTATTGACTTTTCCATACACGGTCACGCCATAAATTTGTAATAAAAAAATCAATTTAATTCATGCTCATCACATCAATGCTTGTCAATGTTTCATCTCGTCCATTGTCAATCTGATGTTGATGTTTACCTCGTCACACGACACATTCGCTATGAAGAGATTAAATGAAAACATTGACGAATGAAACACAATTATGAAACGCCTTCGAGGTGGAGCCAGAGAAATATAATGAAAACAACACATCAACATACATTTCCATGCTACATCACATCGGTCGGAGCTCGTCGAAAAAAGCATGAGAAATCATAAATACATCACATAAATGTTGACAGATGATGGATTATTTATTGTTATTGTAATGGTATGGCGTCGCTAGGAAAGGCAAATGGCAAACTTCATTGCTGTAATAAGCTACGCTTGCTAGCATTATCGTTCTTTATTTTGAGCATATTTCTGAGCATTGTTTGTTAGTTGAAATGAAAAATGCTTCTGACGACTTTCTTTGTGCTAAGTCAAAATGATTTTTCAACCCTAAAACAGCAACAGAAATGAAAATGTTTTCGAAGGAAAAAACTAACACAAGCTCAACTTGATGGTGTGCAAAGCCAGCGAGTCATTAACCTCAGGCGCTGAACACTTTTCACACATATGGATGAGAAGAAGAATCAAAAGCAGGTAGCCCCGAACGCAAAATTTCACAGCGAAAATATTTTTCTCCCTTCATGATCTGAAATAAAAAATATTTTCAAGATCAAACCGGTAATGAAAGGAATTTCAAAGTGTTTACGTCGGCGTTTTGTGGTTCTTTTAATAGTGAAGAGGAAATCATATGTGGTGGCAATGAAAACGAAACGGAGCAATGGAACGAGTGGAGCACATTAATGTTGGGTGACTTGCAAAGGGTAGACAGTTGAAAATGTTTTCCGTGTTTTTCGATTCTCCGCAATTTCTTTCTCAGCGACTTTCCACCCAGTTGTGAAAGAAAATATGAGCAGAAAAGGACATTAAGCATTTTAAGGGAGTGAAACGTTCTCGTCTATAAATGGAAGCACATAATTCAAAGTTTAAGACAGGACGACTGTAATAAATCTGTCAGAAAACTGCTTGGGTTCATATACTCTTGACTCGACTTTGAACGCACACCGTGAAAGTCTTTCGATGCTTTTCATCTTCGTCCGCTTTCCTTTCTTTCTCTTCATCTTCGTCTTTCTTTCTTTTATTTCTCTTTTTAATGTGTTCGTGTGTTGAGAAAGGCCTGCTGGCATAGCTAGTTGCATAATAACATCGATTTGAGACCGTGTAGAGTTGCACAATACGACATTATCATCCTGGAACCAGAATCCATCAGAAGATTTATGAGCTTTCTATCGGGACATTTTAGGAATGTTTTTGAGTGATTTTCAAAGTCAAATGTTGACTTCAAGACGGGAAACAGAAATTCTTGAGTTAAATAAAAATTCTTGAATGTCGACGAGAAGTTTTAACGTCAACTCTTCTTCCCTTTTATTAATTTATTGTCGATAGTTCAATTAAAAGCGATTATCCGAGTGAGAAAAAAAGTCAGAAATTATCTGAATTGATGGGAAAATTTCTTTTGTTCCACATTTACATCTTTCAGTAAGCCGTAAGATGATACATTTTGTTACTAATTTAATTTCTATTGTCAGTGTCGGATGAGTGATAAATCATTTAAATTACTCTTCATTCATATAATTAACGAATTTATTTTCTTATGGGTCTTGTGATTAGTTGGCGAAAGACAAGAAAAGATTCATTAAAATTGATGACGGAAAGTTGAATTTAAAATGATTTTGTAGTTACCAAACGAACTCAAACTTCTGATTCTCTTCAAAACGAGTTTACCAGCAGCTTGCTTGGCTCTCACACTCGACTCCAAACTTCACCATTTCCAAAATGTGAAATAAATCAATCAAAGATAAAAATCATCAACGAATCCATTTTGAGAAAGCAAGAAGAATTCTCAAAAGCAGAAAAAATAAAATAAATGGTCTCGTATTGTTTTCTTCCGTGCATTTAATCGAGTTTCTTTCCTTTATTTCTTTGGAGTGAAGTTTATGGCTGCTTTCTTCAATAGCATCAAATAAATTTTCGTTCGTAGCTTTGGAAAGAGTTTTGTAGTACTCGCAGCTAATTTATTGCATTAAATATCGATTTTGCTTACCTTCATTTATTCACAGCTTTTTGAGAATGTTCCTGATATCGGACTGAAAGATGGAGAGATTTGTAAAACGGCAGCGTGTTCCTTGCCTGCTGCATGTGCTTGGGGTTTGTGGTTGGAAATTTATTCATGAAATTTATTTTTTCACTCATATCAGACATTGAGTGATCTTTGCAAGCCCCAAACATTCAAGAATCATTTCCGAAACTTTTTAAAATTCATGAGAAAATTGCTTTTTTAGTTAAAGTGAACAAGTAAAAAATGAAAGCAAAGCATTTTCTTGTTTGCCTTCTTCTCCACCAACACTCGTGAAAGTCCCCAACAACGATGGAAGAAAAATCGATGCTGGTGTTAAAACGGAAAGTTTTTCTTCTTTCCACTTGCTTTCGGACGGATGAATGGCAGAATGGCAGATGGATCGTTCAAGATTTGAATTACACAATTTAAAGTTATTGTGGTGTACGTTCTGAATTACAAATACCACCAGCAAAGGTTTTTTAAGTCAAGGGTGGTATCATTGATGCCGGTAATGCTGTCGCTGCTGCTGCTGCTAAAATAAATGAAGGCAAGTTGAGATGAACTCCCCCAAAGACTTTAAACTTCCTTCATGGTCTTTCCGACACTTTCAGAGCTCTTTCTCGACAATTTCCATTGAAAAGTGCTAAGGAAAGTAATGGAAGAACAAGAAATAACTCAGATTGATGAATTATATCACCGCTTCTCGTTTTCCATCTCTTTCTCGCTTTCCATGCTTCAATTGTGTTGAGGGTATCATTTTGAAAACATTATTTTTAATTTCCACCGTAAATTTTTTGCCACCCTAATCCCTGCCTTAGCAGAGAATGTCAGTGGATGGAGTGGAAGGCGAAGTCGGATCATTGTGATGGAACAGCAGAGAAACATTTCGCCTTTTCATTGTTTGTGTGATGAAATTTGTTTCTAAAGAAAGAAAAAAGGTGCGTAATGGCAGGCACCATGGTGTTCGATAGCGCAATGAAGGAAAAATCGATTAAATATTTTTCACGGCGGTTCACACTAAGCGAAATCCGAGGAATTTTCTGCCTTCTTCAATTTAAGAATTTTAAATGAAATTGATTTGTGAGTGACGTTGAAAAAGTTTTTGCTTGAAATTTTAACTGCAAACATTTCTTTGATTTATTAGCGTTGTTGCAGTGGACATTAAAGTTTAAAAGGCAGACTGAAGGGGTTGGTTATGACATGTTTATGATAATTGTCGATAATGTAAATGAGAATAGTTTGTTGTTGGATCACATTTAACATTCTAATGGAATATTAAGCAACGCTGCTTTTAAATTATGACGACATGAGATTCTACAATGTAAAAAGTCGCAGTTCGCGACAATAAAATGCTCGTAAATTTTGTTGAGAGATTCTCGCTTGGATTCTTTCAAGGCGTCTTTGGTTAAGAAAGTGTTGAGATGAGAACAAGAATTTTCTTCTCTCAATGCATCGAAGGAAGTAGAAAAACATAAAAATAAAAATTGAGAAAACGAAGAGAAAAATCACAAATCAGGGGAAATTGAGATACGCTCGTCGAGACTTCTTCGAGAGTGTGTTGCATTGCATCACAATTGATGGAGCATACAACGAAACATGAATCACGGATGACGATTCTCTTTGATCCCGCTTCCTTATTCACTTTTCTTTCTGCTTTTCTCGTTAATCCGATAATCATTGTCATTCATCGATTGAAATGTTAACGTTTGTTCAAAGCTCACGTTTGCTTGTAAATATGTTAATCATGTTGTTGATTTCTGATATCTGCAATTTGAAATTTCGTTTCTTCTTTTTGAGTGACTCTTGATTGATTGATTCGTAACGAGATTAAGCTCTCTTATGTTGTTGAGAGAAATGTTTCTGACACTTTGATTGACACTTGAAAGGCTCTTCGGTTGTTCAAACGAATCAATAAAAAATCAACAACAACATAAACAAAGTCGATGTAGAATATTTCGCCCGCATGCGGAAATTTGATGAGAAGGGAAAGGAAAATAATTTTGTGATTGAAACGTTTTGACTTTTCACGTGATGGGAAAAGAATTTTCCAATTTCATTTTAGAAGCTTAATTATCACGTAGGAATTTAAAATTCCGGAAGTCAATCGAAACTAGTGTTTCTCAAAATCCCTATTTTTAGGGAATAGGGAAAAAGAAATCGTCAAATTTCTACTAGAAATCGCTTAATTTTTCCTATAAAGATGGATTGTTTAGTGTTTTCTATGTCAGAACATTACGTTAATGCAGTTTTTTCTTTTAAAAAAAGTCGATATCTAGTAGAAAATCATCGATCCCTGATCCCTGTTTTTCAAAAAACAGGGATTTTGAGAAACACTAATCGAAACCATTTTTGAATTGTTTAATTCAATTTCATATCGGACAATCTCACAACGTCGTCAACTCTGGTCATCGCTTACAGCAGTGAATCGTCTCATGTTCCGCAATAGTTTCATTCATGACATTTTCTTAATTAAAAACGATAATACTGAAAGACTTATGATGATAAAGTAGACGAGAAGAGAAGAGAAAAGCAAAGAATCTGCTGCATTGTTTCATAAATAAATAAATAAAGTTTATTTCGCTTCAATATTTCCTTTCACTCGTCTCCTTTTATGATTTCTCTCGCTTGCTTGTCGCTTTGCGAAGGGCTTTTAATTTAATTTATGTTCTCATTATGATGCCACGAAAGTGTTCCTGAAGTTATCATTTCTGTCACTGAAAGGACGAGACTTGTGTAAATATTTTATTTCTGATTTTAATTTCATTATCGATTGAATCGCTTTGTCTTGAATTTATTGTCTCTCAATTTTGTGACATTGTTTTGTCTAACTTACTGAATAGATAAATTTACAAAGAAGCATCTTGTGATGCATTTTCTTTTATCAGATACTTAATGGTATAGAAAATAATTTCCAAGCCATTCGAGTGCTGAGTGACATCGGAAAATCTCGTTAAACGTCTGTGACTTCAATTGAAATGGCACATGCTGTTCAGATAAAGAAACTTCTTTGAAGGAAAGTAATCGAAGCTGAAACTCTTATCACGTTGGAATTTTACGAACTTCGTGAAATGACATGAGGAGATGAGAAAGAGGAAATTATCACGCAAACCGAATAATTTTCCTTCCAATGTGTTCGAGAACGGACGATGGTCGTAAAGAACAACAACAAGGGCGATTTAATCGTAATTCGTGTCGTCAGGGCGCATTTTCATGCTATCGATGTTCATGATTTAATATTTCTAGAAACTTTTAATTAATTTCTTTCACTTCATATTAAAATTTGTTCATAATTTCAAATCTAACATCCTGGAATTGATGTTGCACTTTTTTATAAACTTCTACCACAAATCACTGCCCACAATCAACTCTCAAACAAACATGTAATATTTGGTGTTAAAAGCTTGAAAGCTGACCATGTAATGGATTGTGAAAATGCTTCCTTTTTCGTTCATTCATTCATCATACACTGAGAGTATTTATTGCCTAAATATCACTTAAGCACTTTTGATTTCTACTCCGTTCTGGATGCACAAAAACCAATTTTATCTCACTCAAGCCATGAATGAATGATGCAACATCACATAAATTTTCCAACGTGATGATGATGCTGCGGTATTTGGATAGAAAAGTGATTTAAGAGTAAACGTTAACAACATCGAGCGTCGAGTGTCGAGGAAAAACCATATAAACACCATGAACTGTCATCTCTTCATGAGGCTTGTTGAAATGTCATATAAAATCACATAAATCCGAACTGATGATTATCAAAACTTTCCTTTACATTCATAGTTGTTTGCTTTTTGTGATTACACTTTATGATTTAAGAGTACTTTTACGTATTAAACAAGATAAATTTAACATGCAATGTTGCTGCTGCTCCATCCATAGAAGCGATGCAAGTGAACAACATAAATTTGTTTAATCACTGATTCATGAACCTCAAATGCTGTCATGCTTTCGACTTAATGTAATGAAAGTTCGCTTCTTAAGGAAAACTTTTCGAATATTTTAAAGGTGCTAACTGCTAATTGTTATTGCACAAACGTAAGAAGATTCTTCGTGGATCTTTTCAGGCTTTTTCATTAATCCACAAAGAAGCAGATTAATCCATGGAAAGGTAGCAGAAATCTCCTGTCATAAACAGTTGGAAAATGGAGATTAAATTTTACATCGGAGTAAGGGAAGTGAGAACACAATCTCATCAACATAGAAAGGGATCATGCACAAGACGGCGGCGATATTCATTTATAATTTATTTTCCAAATAACCATAACAGTAACAATAAATAAGAATGGAAAAATTTATACATTTCTCGTTCTTCTTTATCATATTTTCTTCGCTTTCCTTCTCTCAGACGGTTATTTATGACAATTTTTCCTCAAAAGAAATATCAGAAAAGATGGAAAATACCTCATTATATTTTATGCTGTCGATAAAATTTTATTAGATATACATAACACACATACTAATATCATCTGCAACGAGCACAAACAGTTGGAAATTTATTTGTGCAATTCCTCCACTGAGAGACGAGAAGCGTTTCACTTATTCATTTTCTTCTTCTTTTATTTTCCTTTCGGTTAAGAAATCATCTCCAGAAGGATCCATAAAAACGTGATGAATTCGATTAAGTATTCACTTAAAAACAGCAAAATTATTTTAATAAATATTGATAAACTAATCATAGTCATTCGTGTCATAATGTTTGAGATAAAAGAAATGAAACCAAGTCCAATAATTTTATTCCACTTTAAGAGAACCTTCAGATGAATTTTACTTCTCATTTCTTGTGCTTAGTTTAGCATCAATTTGATAAGTTACGAGATTGCTGATTTTGAAAATTCCCACAGAATGTGCTCAAATAACATTTCTTGAGATATTAAAAAGCTTTTTGAAAATTAATACAAATATTAATGTTGTTAAATGCAGATTTTTGATATTCTAAGTTATCTTCCACTTCTCCTTCGCCGACACAAAAATTTGAATGAAATGAGAATAAAATATCGTAATTTATGGTTTATCAAAAGAATGTTTTGTGTCGCTTTGTCGATGGAATCATTTTCGAAAATAAACTGAGATCAACGAGTGATTTATGTTCTGATTGGAGATGAATATGGAAATAGAGATCACACGCGGGGATTGATAACTAAAAGAGAAGAATTTGTTTCTGTTGTGTTGTGTCAATGATCGAAAGATCTTCAGAATAATCATTCGTTGAACATTTCTTGAAACTTTCATTCAAACATTTCCCAAGTTTTCCTCTTAAGACTGCCAGAAAATTCACCGAATGATGTCGACATTCGGTTCGAATGAAATAATTTATATCAGCAACATTCACTCAGTGGGAGACGATGAAATATTGGAATAATATTGGATTCATAAAGAGCTCATCTGCCTAGCGAAAAATGCGAAATTATTCACTCGATTAACAGCGAATGTGCAAATTGACGGTTTAAATTTTATTTCGTCGGCGACATCGAATATGGAATCGACGAATTAATTAATTATTTTTTGGGTTTTGTTTGAGTTGAGATGATTTGAGTGATTTTCAGTCAAGTTAAAGTTATTCAAATATATTTATTCGCTCGAATGTCATTTGCATAGAATTACAATTAAGCAAAGCAACGCCAGAATGCGAAATTGATGGAGAAAAACAAAACTGAATATCATAACAATAATTCACATGCTTAGCATATCCGAAAGGCAAGAAAATGTCAAAAAATCCCATGACAAGTCATTTATGAAGCGTTGGCACTGATGATGGAATAATTTTTAATCTTTTTCCAATCAATTTTGATGGAAATTTTTATTGAATGCAAATGATTTGAGATCGACAACAAATTGCTGTTATTGTGACGATATTGACAAACGTTTCATCCCACTTTTGATATGAAACAACAGCAAACGAACATACGCAAAATCTTCATGTCATAAATCCTTCATAAAAGCAAAGCAAACAAGACAAAGCATAATTTATTATCATTTATGTTTACATTTTCCATTGTTTTACAAGCTTTCAAATTAAATCGCATTCAATTTTGTAATCCACATCCGAAACTTCCATCAAATTTAAGCTCTAAATCATTATGCAAATAATTATGATGCATCACTTAAACTTCCTTCGAAATATGTCATTTTGAATTAGATTTATGAATTTGCATGTGGCATTTATGTTGTTCAACATTCAGTTAAGTTCCCTAATAAGACTTCAACTTTATAAATTTATGAAATTTTCATTCATAAAAAACTAATTTTCACTGCAAAGAGCAAATAAGTAAGAAAAAATTAAAATTTTATGTGAAATTTATTGNAAAATTCAATCACATTTTATACTGATTTGATGAGTAGTGGATTTACTTTCTCATAAAATCGTCAGCGGGTACATGATTATAAGCATTTGAAAATTATTTTGAACCAAAATTCAATGAATTATGTGCTTAAGTAAAACGTATATTCGATATTGGAACTGTTAAGAATATATAAAAATTAAAAGAACATAAGTTTATTAGAAAAAAATTAAACTTTTAGTACTTATGGCACTTGATGGGTCATTGAAGACATTGCAAAATTTCCTTATTCAAAATGTAAACCAATTCAACAAAATATCAATTATATGATTTAGTTCATCATAATGAATGTCAATTTTGATGTTAAAAACATTAAATTGTAACATTACAGCTAAATATATGAAGTGGTCGTATACGAAGACGACTCCACGACAAACGCTTTTGTCTATTATTATTCATTTTGCAGATAAAGTTGAATGTTTACACGATAAAAAGGTGAGTCTGGAGCGTTAGAATAATTGTGCATCAATTGATTTTTTTTGCAGCTTCTCGTTTTTTATTTTTAGTTAAAATAAGAATGGTCTTATAGGAAAGCGTGGGTGTGTATCATCTGCAACGAGCACAAACAGTTGGAAATTTATTTGTGCAATTCCTCCACTGAGAGACGAGAAGCGTTTCACTTATTCATTTTCTTCTTCTTTTATTTTCCTTTCGGTTAAGAAATCATCTCCAGAAGGATCCATAAAAACGTGATGAATTCGATTAAGTATTCACTTAAGGTCGGAGCAGAACTACTCAAAGTTACTGAAAACAATTCTTTTTCTGAAGATAAAATTTTAGATGATTTGTGGGAGTTGTTGTTGTGACGATGATGTTTTCCATTTCCATGATGAAAAATCTAAGCAATCTTTATTTCTTAAAATATTTCTTCAATTACTTTTGTATATTTTTCTACATATTTTTTCTTAAATGGATAAAATAACGAATATCAATTGTGATGATGCTAATTCATCACCAATGGCACCTGAAGTGCCAGAATCGGGATATCTGGTGAAGAAATCTAAGGAAACCATCGATAAACTTGAAAGAGAAAATTTCAATCTAAAGTTGAAGTATTTCTTATTGAATCGTCGTGATAAAGAATTTCTGAGGCAAGCTGCAAATGTGAATTTCGATTTCTTTGAAATGTTTGAAGAGAATGAAGCTTTGAAAATGGAACTTTCTGAGAAAAATATTTTGCTAAAATCGGCATTGGATGTTATTAACCAACTGGAAGACAAAATTCTGTCACTTCAGATTCATTTTGAGAATTCTCTAGCTGAACATGACGCAGTTGTGTCAAGAAGTTTGAAGGTAAATCATTATAAATTTGTTTAACCATCAAAGCTTAATTAAATTTTTTAATGCAGAACAAATCTAAAAGCCGCTTCTACAAAAAAGTTCAAATAAAGTTCTCTCCATCACTTGACATTCATCAAATGGAAGTGACAACAGCTCTTCTCACTGACAACACAAATCTTCTTAAAAAGTTAACTAACATGAAAGCTAAACTTTCATACAAATCACAAACCGTTGATGAACTCTTGAAAACAAAAATAGAAATGGAGAAGAATTTGTACACATTAAAAGCTGATAAAAACGATTATAAGACAAAAGAGAAAGCCGATAATCTAATAAAATCAAATAACGTTTCTGGCATAATTGGAGTTCAAAAGGAAAATGAAGAATTGAAGCGAAAAAACTTTGAATTGGAAACAACATGCGAGAAGCTTAGACGAGTCAATCAAGAGTTAGAGTTCATTATAACTGAGCAGAATGAGCTGATGAAACAACTCAATGTGAGAAAAATTTGTTTCTTCATGACTTCTTTCGTTACTTCAATGATTTTCTTTTATCGAAGATAATAAAAATTTAAAGTTTATGTAAAGAAAAGTTCTCATTTTTTCTTTTTATTCTTTTCAGAAGACAATTGAAGGAAAAAATGAAGAGATTTTGGAATATAAAGATCGATTAGATATGCCAGCATGTTCGAGTTCATCAAGCATTTACATTGCTGAAGACATTAAGTTGATTGAAGATGATTTGTCTAAAATATCGCGACAATATCCGTTTCACAATCCACTTTTTGGACAGGAATTTGAAATGCATCATTAAAAGAATTCGTGAATAAATTCGTAAACAAAGTGAACGGATTTGTTTATTTCATTTTGATCTCATTTCCATTTTTATGAAGACAAATTTTATCCAGATTTCTGTCATATGACTTTTGCATTAATTAACAGAAAATCATGTCAAGAAATTGTTGACAGATATATGAGATTCGTGGGTGACGCAAGATGGAGGCTTACAGAATGGCAACAGAAGTTTTCGAAACTTAATTTATCGAAACTTAATTAAAATAATTTTGATGTTAGTAATCAAATTCAATCCGTATCATAAATTCACGTGAAATGCCAAAATCCATTTTTTTTTTGAAAAGAAAACCTTCATTATCATAAACAACGAAAACTTATACGGAATTGTGACAGCACAACCGACAAATTAATGAAGTCGTAACCGTAAAGCGGGCTTTTTTGCGAAAGAACTTTTTTTATTTAATTTCAAGATGCAAACGCTTATGCAAATCATAACAATAACAATAAATTTTTTGTATGAAGATGAAGAAGATCAAGAGTGAACGGTTCGAATCTTGATTTGTGAGTGTCGACGACAAAGTTTGATTATGAAAATTAAAAGCGAAAAATGTTTAAAGAGTTGAATTTAACTCAGAGGGGAAACATAGTTCAATAAACCAAAAGAAATTTTGTACGAAGAAATAAACTCAATCCTCATTCCATTTCAACAACAACAACCCTCGAACCCTCTAAAGATGTCTTAGATATTTAGGTCAATTTTCAAGAAACATTAAATAAGAAGCAAATCGATGAAAACATTTGATATCACTCACCATCTTCTCACCACATTTAAATGCAGGAATTTCAATAATACATTTCAGTTCAGTGATTTTCGCTCCCTGAAGGGTCAGATATCTTATGTTTAGTAAAACACAGAGAGAAGAGCACAAATCAAATACATTTCTTGAGGTGAAAGTTCGTTGACTTTCTTTAAAAGAAGATAACGAGATAAGACGAGAATGGTGAAACTAAACTTCGATGAACTCACACAGTTTTTATGCAGACAGGATAAACATTGCAGAGAATGAATGTCATTTAAGTTGATAGCAAAATGGGAGATTTGTAAGTGACAGTTTATGTTAACATGTCAAGATAGTATCTTTGTAAGATTCCATCTAAATGTCACATTATGTCAAGTGAAACCAGAGAAATTGTCATACATTTCAAAATACCATTTGGTTAAATAGAACTTGGTTGTATAACTCGAAATGGTTTGATAACTGCTGCCATTCATCTGTCGGATAGAACGACAGCTCCATAAACTTTATTTTTTATTCGCTCCAATTCCACTTGGTAAAAAAGAAAGCTCAATTATTTATCTCCAAAAATTCTGAATGTTTCATTTAAGTGGTAAATTCATCCAAATGTCATATAGATGCAACAGATCAACTTTCCCTGCTTGAAGCTTTGTTAATCGCTTTGAAGCGAGTTTTATCCCTTCTCGTATGCATTTCATGCTTTCCATTGAATGGCAGTTAAAAAACACAGCACAATGAAAGTCATTTGAACATTCATCATCGATATAAGGCAACGAGAATGCAAAAACATATTTTGAGTCACTAAACGTATCAGCCACGAAAAAAATTGTCGTCGTTGTGTGATGTATCATTCACTCATCTGTGGAACAGAAAAAAAGAAATAAAAAGAGCTGCAAAAAATGTTTACGTGCACTTTTTTTTGATGAACTTAATTGTTGTTTATTCTGACTATGAACATCATTGCGCTTTTTTTGTGTCAGCTCTATCGTGTTCATTCGCTAACATGCTGTGGAGATTGATGACGTTTTCGTGTCATGATAGAAAGTCGTTCTTTTTTATCAGCGTGATAGTTTCATGAGATGATTGGATTACAACAAATTGATGAATATTGAAATAAATTGAAGTTCAACAAGGTGATTTTTGTCACATTTCATTCGCTTTTAATAATGATCAATTGGGAAATAATTTGCATGACTTAATCCAACTGCAAGTTGTTGCTGTGAAGAACAAAGAGCGAAGCGAGGAGTTGAGGTAACATTTTTGACAAATCTCCTTAAAACACGACACTTGTAAGGGGGTTTCTTCATGTCTACAGCAGAATATGTTGTGTTAAGCATGTTCTAGTTATGACAACTACTGAATATAAAATCAACATTACTCTTACACGCAGTAGCATAAATTATTTTCCTTGTTTCCATTCATGATTCGTCATAATTCATTTCTCAATTCACCATTTTTTTGGGCGAAAAAAAATGTTTTATCACGATTCACCTTCAGTTTTATTGCTGGCACTGGCGATAAAATTTTACGACAGTGTTTTTAAGATTTACAGCAGTAAACGCTGAATAATAATAAGTGGACTCTTCTTGAGACTCTCCTTCATTAACTCAACCATTTTGATGGGAAAAATATTAACTTCAGTCCGTAAATCATAAACTTAAAATGAACTCTCTGAATGTTGTAAGGAATCAATTTATGGTGAAGAGCTCAAACCTCGAAAGATACGTTTTAATTTGAATCGCAGCTCAGCGGGAAGGAAGCGAACACAGATGAAGATGTGTAGACAAATAAATCACAGAATATCTTTAATAAGTCACAATTCTTTTATTTTACTTCATCTCTCGTCGTTTTTGGACTTTTAGTCTTTTCAAAGATCTGCTTGATAATAACTCAGGTCAAAGCTGTTGTTTAACATTTAATTTCAAATTTCAATATCGTTTCAAGTTATGAACTTTTGATTCAAACGATATCTTTTTTGTTTTTCTTAATTGATGTTCATTAAAAAAATATTTCTTGAGTTGAAGTCGATAAATCAATCTGATTTATTGCAAGTTATTTTTAATTTAATGTCTTCTAAACTTCTCTTTAGGAATATCGTTTGTGTTATTTTCATTTTTTTCCTAATTTATTTCATCATGCGATGACTTTTTCCTTGAATTGAGAGATGAGTTTATTTTTATCAAATTCAAATTTCAAGAGGTTTTAACGACTCGAGCAGAATTCATCATGAGTCGTATATCAATCAAAGTAGAAAACTGCGTCACTCCAAACTCACTAACTTGACTTGGTAGCATGAACGAAAGGAATTCAAACTTATTCAAAATTTATAGCTTTTTTAATCCAAATGAGTTTTAATCAAAAAAAGAAACCCTTGGTTCGTTCAGAAGAAGATAAAGTTCTTGATTTATGTCGATGTCGTTAAACTGTCACTTTTTTAAGTTCATTAAAAAATTCTCGTCTTTTTCTAATCAAAAATTCGTGCTATTGTTACGCCTGCCGGGAAAGAGACGACTGCGATATGAAATACTTTAATTACAATAAATTCTCGACCGTAAAATTTAATAATAAATTGTGGTATCATTTCGATCTTCATTTTTCCACAAATCAAAAACTTTACCTTTAGTTATCCTCCACTTCTCCTTCACCGACACAAAAATTTGAATGAAATGAGAATAAAATATCGAAATTTATGGTTTATCAAAAGAATGTTTTGTGTCGCTTTGTCGATGGAATCATTTTCGAAAATAAACTGAGATCAACGAGTGATTTATGTTCTGATTGGAGATGAATATGGAAATAGAGATCACACGCGGGGATTGATAACTAAAAGAGAAGAATTTGTTTCTGTTGTGTTGTGTCAATGATCGAAAGATCTTCAGAATAATCATTCGTTGAACATTTCTTGAAACTTTCATTCAAACATTTCCCAAGTTTTCCTTTTAGACTGCCAGAAAATTCACCAAATGATGTCGACACCGAATGAAATAATTTATATCAGCAACATTCACTCAGTGGGAGACGATGAAATATTGGAATAATATTGGATTCATAAAGAGCTCATCTGCCTAGCGAAAAATGCGAAATTATTCACTCGATTAACAGCGAATGTGCAAATTGACGGTTTAAATTTTATTTCGTCGGCGACATCGAATATGGAATCGACGAATTAATTAATTATTTTTTGGGTCTTGTTTGAGTTGAGATGATTTGAGTGATTTTCAGTCAAGTTAAAGTTATTCAAATATATTTATTCGCTCGAATGTCATTTGCATAGAATTACAATTAAGCAAAGCAACGCCAGAATGCGAAATTGATGGAGAAAAACAAAACTGAATATCATAACAATAATTCACATGCTTAGCATATCCGAAAGGCAAGAAAATGTCAAAAAATCCCATGACAAGTCATTTATGAAGCGTTGGCACTGATGATGGAATAATTTTTAATCTTTTTCCAATCAATTTTGATGGAAATTTTTATTGAATGCAAATGATTTGAGATCGACAACAAATTGCTGTTATTGTGACGATATTGACAAACGTTTCATCCCACTTTTGATATGAAACAACAGCAAACGAACATACGCAAAATCTTCATGTCATAAATCCTTCATAAAAGCAAAGCAAACAAGACAAAGCATAATTTATTATCATTTATGTTTACATTTTCCATTGTTTTACAAGCTTTCAAATTAAATCGCATTCAATTTTGTAATCCACATCCGAAACTTCCATCAAATTTAAGCTCTAAATCATTATGCAAATAATTATGATGCATCACTTAAACTTCCTTCGAAATATGTCATTTTGAATTAGATTTATGAATTTGCATGTGGCATTTATGTTGTTCAACATTCAGTCAAGTTCACTAATAAGACTTCAACTTTATAAATTTATGAAATTTTCATTCATAAAAAACTAATTTTCACTGCAAAGAGCAAATAAGTAAGAAAAAAATTAAAATTTTATGTGAAATTTATTGTCAGAAATTATTTAATTGATTCTCATTAGCATTAATCTTGCATGGTACACAAAAAGAGCCGATGAAGTTTCCAGTTAATCTTCAATGGAAATGCAAAAGTGCAATAACACTTGCAACGGTTTGATTATCATCGTTAAATATGGTCCATTAATGTGAATAAATGAGTGTTGGTTGGACTTTTGTTGTTATGCATCTGAAGCAGTGATGCTTTCCATCAGTGACGTTATCTCAAGATATTGACGACTAACAACAGTTAATAAAAATTTCCTTTATTAATATTTGAAGTTACTTTTAAATTCCACCCGAGAAATTTTGATTTCGTTTTGTTTTTAAATTAAAATTTTTCATTTGCTTAATGATGATTAAAATCATCGACCATCAATGGCATCACAATCTTAACTCTTTTTAATTTAGCCCAAAAATTGAGATGAAAATAATCGTCAAAAGATGAAGAAAAGAAATAAAGTCAAAAGTAGACATAAATTGTGGACTTAAAGTTGACAGTTTTACAGTTTTATCATGTGCGGTGTCTTTCTGTTATATTTTACTTTTATTTTATTTATCCACTCGTTCTTTGTTTAGTCACATTTCTTGACTTCATTTCAGGTTGAGCTGTCAAGTTGAGCGCCTAATAAAGCGACTCGATCTTACAGATCGAAAATTGATTTCAAAAAAGTTCGCTTTATTATTTATTCTCCTCAATTTTATTTATTCATTCGATGCTTAGCTTTTCATGCCATGCTTTCAAAATACTTTTTAAACATATGCGCTCAAATGATCCCACACTTTCTTCACATCTTCTCAGAGAGTGAAAAAATGAAGCGCTAAAGCGACACCGCACGAAGCTGCTTACAACCCGCGACTAAAACACCGCCACATTATTTTATTAACAAATCAATTAGTTTACACTCTTACGGTATGAAAACATGTACAGATGAAAACTGTAAACAAATAAATCGGAAACACCTCGTGCATGCAAAGAAGCAATCGTTGCAATATTTTATATTTCAAGCGGTTTTTGCAATCTGTGTTGGTTTATTTGCAGCATTTAGCGCGTAAATGATTTCTTATGTCCCACGCTACATAAACACATTGCACTTTCGTTGCTTCTATTCCGCTGTGTGGTGTTCCGATATGACGTAAACATAGCGAACATCATTTGAAATTATTATTGATTGTGAGCGTTCAATATGTTTGTGAAAGGTCAAAAGTATGATAGAAACTTCAGTAAAAGATTATCTTCTGGAGAAACGTCTAAATGGATTTAAGTGGCCATCGATCAATATTATTTATGACTACAACGGCTGCCGGCTGTATCACTCAGTCTATTAATTTGCCTCAAATTTATTGCTCTCACCCATTCGACTGCTCATTGCATCTTCAAACAGACAACCAACGCCATCTGTAGACGTTCACAGATTGCTGCTTTCTACATCGTATGAGTAATCTTGTCGCTTTGCCTTCATCATCGACTGACTGACGTCTCTTGAGTAATAAAATAGAATCTTCTGCTTTTATACATTCAACACATAAACAATCACCTTAATAAATTTGTGAAGGATTTATGTGAGTGATTTATGAGTTGGATTTGGCAAAGAAGAAACGTTTTAAGCGTGTGGAAATACCTTTCAAGCTTTATTTATAACTAAAAATGCTAGCGGGCATGTTTCCATCACTCGTTATTTTATTTTTTGCTTGATGAAGTTTCGATAATGCCTACGTTTTGGTTGCTAAACCATAAATAGGTCGTCGTTTATCAATGAATGACATCAAGGTGGTCGTGAAATGTTTTTCGTTCATCACAAATCAAATCCATTAATTACACCTTCTTTCCTTAATTACAAACATTAAGCTACTCTTCAATATTTCCTCCAGCCTTTTTCTTTACTTTGAAACTTTCATCTTTCATATTTTGTTTGATAAAGTGCACAAACATCTGTCGATTCACGCTCATAAATTATGACGATGTCAAATGAAAACTGCACAATGCAAGTAAAGAAAAACTTTTCTCTTTTATTTTCATTTTCATTGCTTAGAAAAGGGTCTTTCTCCCTCCAACTCCCAACCACTAGGTAGTCTTCCAAAAATCAGAACTGAGACCGACGAGAAGCTTTATTGATTTTCGATGACAATAAATCATGTGGAGAAATATTTTGTATCTTATCGACAGAAAAAAGCAACAATATCGTTTTTCAACAGAATCTCAAATTGAACAAAAATCCACTCGTCTGCCAATTTTGGTTGAGGGAATCGAATGCGATTTGATGTACGATGAATTTATGCTCATAACTCTTCCTTCCAACATCCCGAACATAACAAAGGAAAATATTTTTCTTTTTGGCTCGATAAGTGTTTCGTTTGTTCCCCTTGTGATATTCTCAGAAATATTTTATTTTTCTTCATTTCACGATTGACAAACTTTGTGCATTCTTTAGTCGATCAAAAAAACTCTCGGGGAAAAAGGAATAAGATTCTCATCTGAAGTCGTAAATCAAGAGAGAGCGAGTCAAAGAATGATTCAGAGCATGCGCCAAAATGAACTCTCAAGTCACGTTAAATTTTATGAGTTATCAATACTTTCGCAATCTCCTCTCCACAGATATTTCCTGATACTTTCAAGTTTTCATTCTTTCGCTTTCATGTCAGACTCTTTTTTTTCTACTGAAAGTCTCTCGTGATGAGTGGAGACAGTAATGTAGACTGGCAAACATGCAAATTTCAAGAATGTTCATTGTTCCAAAATAATATTTTTGTTCGTTTCAGTGCAATGACTTTTCATCTTTTTATCTGGTTTTATTTAGGATGAAAGTTCACTCAACATTAATATTTAGAAACTGAAAATTATCTTCACCCATATTGAATTTATGTTTAGCGACAACTCAAGACTGCACTCAGTAATTTTTATTTGTTATTTTTCTATTGAAATTTAATGGAATTTTAATAAAAGTCGGCATCTTCATGGGTTTATGAGCTCTTAAATCTATGACATTTATCGAGCTATTTAATATTTACTTCAAAGTCTCATTGTGAAACGCCTTCGACTTAATAATCATTCACGAATGAATGATTTCATATGACTCTAGATTCAAATTAAATGCTTGCAAATCGGAAATTTGAACATCACAATTGACTAAATTGTTTCCTTAAACCATCTAAAGTGAAACAAATTGATTCATTTTATGTTATCTTAAATTATTCTTGCATTGAAAATCACATATGATTTCGATATAAAATATTATGTTAATTATGCTTTTTTATTTCTCTTTTTGATTCAACAACGAAACACATTAATGCAAAGAGCTCATAAGTCAATGAAGAAATCAAGCAGCTCCTACACGCAGTTAAGCAAACAATATTACAAGGAATATTACAGTAATAATTCTACAATTTATGGAATCGCTTTGCTATTAAATCAGCAGTTTATAAAACTCGTTTCAATACATTCAATTTCACATTTAATATCTTTCGAACGTTTCCGAACTTCCTATCGTTGAATTGCTTCATTCCTTGAATATTTGAATACCTAATTTCGATGGTTTTCCTTTCACCCGTCACACTTACGCTGAAATGACTTGAATTAATGCAAAGATTGATCCATGACGATAAATTTCAAATTCACTTGCAACAAACGACGAAATTATTCGCTGCAAATCAACACGATAATTTGTGTGACTTCCATCAAAGCTCATGTTTCATGTTTCAATTCCTTTTGAGAATTTTTATTTATTTCGTAACATTTTTATAAACCACAATAAAAATGATGAACAAAGTATCGACATAAAAATATTTGATATCGTAAACTGAACGTAACTTGAGCATTTTGATTGATTTATGATCGACAACTCCACTGTCAGTGATAAAAATATTTATTCATATTAAACGACGAAGGTGAATTTCGCTCGTGTGTGTTTGTGTGGATCGATGGAAGTGACAGAGACGAAATCACAGCCACAAAAATTCGTCTCGATTGCCTCGTTAACGTCAATCACGATTCACCACTGACAACGAATAACCGAGTTTACAACCTCATGATTTATTCTGAGGTTTGTCATTATGCGGATATTAGAAATAATCTCGTATAAAAGTCTGATATATGAGCTTCATTCACTCGTTCCATCAAATAGTGCGTTTTTGTCGCTTCATTTATGTGATTGCCAACACCTGGTGAAATTTGTGTGCGATAGTAAAACTTCTATGACATGATATTGAAGAAGGGGAGAAGGAAAGCGAATGTTAGTGGCAGTCGGGAGGATTGGAAAAAAAAGCGAGAATGTTTATGAACAACAGAAGCGCTACAAATAAATTTACGAGTGTTTAGTTATGAGTTTGTGGTCATAATCCACTGAAATATATTAGCACAAGAAATGTCTGCAAATTCCTTCGCTAACTTAACGATCATTGATGCGTATTTCATATTAAAACCACTCGGTGCTTGTCTCTCGTTCGTTTGGGTCTCGATATCACATTTATTGAACATATTCTCGCTCAAACTGTCCGCAATAAATTCTACGACTGGTTAAGATAGAAAACATGCAGTCGCAGTGCGTTTGAAGGTGCATCCATCGATTTTAACGGAAATAAATTTTTGCTTAGAACAAATCTGTGAAACGCACAGAAGAATTTCATGGGAAAGCAAATTTATTACTCATTCATCGACAGGTTCAAAAACAGAGAGCTTTGCTCGATACTCTGCTATGAACATGTACATAAAATTTTACGTTTTTAGTGTGGTAGATGTGCCGAGAATGTCGATTGATCGTTGCATTAAACAACCATCAAAACCAATTAGCAATCGAACAGACGCATGGGCAAAGGAACGTCCATTTGCAAACTCCAAAAGGGTTCCTGCCATGCACCTCCAGTCGCTAATTTCATGCGAATGTCCTGCCATAATTTATGTCAATGTCCAAACCTCAAACATTATTCAATCAAATATTTGTTGTCAATGAATAAAACTCATTTTCCGACTGCACTGAAATAAAAAAAGAAAGCTTTGGAAATTTACACAAATTCCAAACATAATTTATTTAAATGACATAAAATTTCAAGAGCTATGCGAAGTTTAGAACAAAACTATTCGAGAATTGTATGTTTTGATTATAGAGACAATAGTGCATGTCAATTGAATTTATGTTTGTGATGTTGCTTCATTTTCGTGTTTGATGCGAAATTATTAGCAATTATTATCGGTTTATTTTATCAGAGAGTGCATTTATAAAATTGTTTATGTTTCTAAAAGCATAAATTTCCATGCACACGGGAAGCATATCATGTTTGCTAATAGCGTTAAAGTCGTGCTTTTGTTTTGATAATTATCAATAAATATCATGAATGATATAATAAATTTCGCTTATTTTTAATCATTTTAAAATAAACATTTCAGATGAAACTGCAGCCATGATATGACTTGTTCAATTTGAATTAACCCACATGGTTTTCGGATTCATGTTCGTCTGTCATGGGCAAATTTATGAGCAATGCACGAAAAACTTTTAAATTGCCAATATCACGATCCGATACATAATTCTTTTATCTTTGAGTGCTTGCATTGGGTGCCCCAAGGCTGGTAATGAGATGACATGATTCGTGTCATTCTCCGAATCACGAACTAAATTGAAGCTCATTAAATGGTACAAAAATTTGATTTTTATCATATTTCAGTCATGACAACCTGCACAATTTATGATTTACGACAATGCTTTTTAATCATGCATGAGAAGGAAGAAGTTTAACTTATGCTCCTCTTGAATTTTCGTTTCATGCAAATTGATATTGAACTTGTCTTGTCATCAACTGAGATGAACTTTCATGTCAATTCTAAGTTTATTTTTAATTAGAAATTTCACTTAATAGCAGATAAATTTGGTTTTCGAGAGCAACTAAAGTTAATGCTTAATAACTTTCCGTTCGTCATGCAATAATTCTTCAAAAAACTTGCAACATTGTTCTCTCTTGCCTTGTCCTTATAAATATCATCGTTCGGTTTGTTTTCTCAGAACAAACTTTCTATTTTGATTTTTGTCATTGTCAGCAGAAGTTTCACTTCCTTGTTGTTTTCTTGATGCAACAACTAAAATAAATGACCATCATAAATTCTTGTCAACATTGTTCGAGAATGGTCAGTTAACAGAAATCTATTGCAATAGTTTCATTAACATAATTTCTGCTACGGTTGAATATCTACACAATTCATTGTTCCATTGTTGTACTTATTTAAATGCACTTTTATTACCTGTTTTAGTTATTAAAATATCTATTTATGCAGATATGAAAAATATTACTTTAATGACTCATGAATGAGTTGAAAAATGTTTTCGGTTAATTTGTATTATCTTTGAAGATTTTGATGAATGATCAACTCAAGATCAATTGCAAAATTTATTTTTAAGGCAACTCATTGAAATCTCCTTTAACATTTTACTCATCACTCGCTATTTCTTCACGTTCATTTTAAATTTCTAACTCCATCCATTGTCTAGTAAAGTTAATTGTTACCTGTCGACATATAACTCAACTAATGGAAAAGAAGAATTTACAAAATACATTAATGTCAACATAAAATAAAACAGAAAAATTAAAACTTATTTTCAAATTGAAAATTTTCTTCAAATCATTTTAAAAACTTTTGAAAACAGACTTTAGATTTAAACAACAATTTTTATTATTCAAATATTATAGAAAGTATTTAAATTCATAAGTTTGTCTTTAAATAACTAGTGAGAGAAGGATATTAATGATGTTTAAATTAAAGAACGAAGGCTTAGTTTCGAGTTTCTTATTTGGTGGCTTAACTTAACTAAGTTTTGTAGAAATTATTCAAGTATTCATGGCAAAAATTGTTTCATTACAATTAAAATATTGCAAAAGCCAATTAATGTACTGAAATTATAAAGTTGTTTGTAATGCAAAACTGAGTACATCGAATTAGAAAAAACAAATCGTGAGTTGTGCAATAAATTAAGAGCTAAGAAGAAAAAAAATTTTGCAAGTGTATTGTTATTAATAATTGTATCATATTTATTTAGTTTCAGTATACTTTGACTATTTGTTTTTATTAAACTCGAAATAAACTCAGTCGAAAGTCTGTAAAAGCTCTTCGTTCTTAAATTTGATGAATCTTAGAAGGCTTTGACTCAAATAAATTTGAATTTCAGCAGTTCTTTCAGAACCTTTGCATAAACACACTAAGTGGAAATCAAGATGGTTTTTAAACAATTTTCCAAAGTCAATTCAGTCATAAAAGTTTTTCTGATTCTCTGTTTTATTATTCTTGTTTCTTTCGTGTTATTCAACATTAAGGATATTCCGCAAAAAATAAAGTCGGAATCATTGTCATATACTGAAAATAAAGTGAATTCATTGAAAATGAGGTAAAACTTAATTTAAATATTACGTCATAGTTCGCTTAAAATCATGAACAAGGTCTTGATAGTACAATATTGATGACATAGGGTCATTTAGATGCAAGTGTAAATATATGAAAACATCGAATTAATATTTCATATTTATTTTCAGCGATTGTCCATGTGAACGATACAATAACACATTGAAGAAAACTCTTCATGGCAAATATGTCTTCATAAAGAATATCGTGGCAGCAGAGAAAACGCCTGATTATCAATCAACGATGACTTATACAACTCATGGTGATGTCGTTTTTCTCATTGAAAATATTATTCCGTTGCTAGAAAGGTTCGAAGTTTTATTTTTAATTAAAGCTTTATTGGAAACAAAATTCTTTTAATTATTCACAGATGGAGAGCTCCTTTAAGCATGGCTTTATATACTCCCGGATCTGATTTCAATGTGACATTAAATACAATTTCATATTTTCGTAATTGTCATGATCAACGAGATCTTGTGAGAGATTTTGCGTCATTTCATTTCTTCTTTGAGAAGGATTTAATGCAAAAAGATGTGAATCTTGACATTGAGGAATCAAATTTTTCTTGTTCTTCAAATGAACATCTTTTGAAACTTAAAAATAATGAAACTTACAGAGCTTTGAAAGAGCTCGTCTACCCAATTAATGTTGGACGAAATCTTGCAAGAGAAACTGTTGGCACTCATTTTGTTCTGGCTAGTGATATTGAACTTTATCCCAGCCCTGGCTTGAATGAAAACTTTTTTCGAATGATCAATCAAAATCCCGAAGCTTATCCCGATGGTAAAAAGTAAATATCGTAAAAATGTGTACCTTTGTCGCAATTATAATAACTAAACTGCTTTCTCATCCTTTAGTGTCTTTGTACTTCCTGTGTTCGAAATTGAAAAAGGTGTTGAATTGCCTCAAAATAAATCACAACTTCGTGAGCTTTTCAATGTTGGTAAAGTTGTTTGGTTTCATAAACAAATAATTTGGTCTTATCACAAAGTTCCAAATGATACCGAATGGATGAATGATGATGACCCAGAACTCAAAGTATTTGTAACTGTCAAAAGAAAAGGTGAACAGAAAGTTTGGGAACCTTTTTATATTGGTACAAATGCTGAACCAACATTCGATGAGCGACTGAACTGGGAAGGAAAAGCTAATAAAATGACACAAGCTTACATCATGTGTCTGCTTGATTACAATTATCACGTGCTTTCAAATGCATTCCTCATTCATAGACCAGGAATTAAGACACAAAAAGAAGCTGCACGTGTGAAATGGGAACCTGCTAACAGAATACTTATCTATAATGTTATTCAACATGAAGCTGAACTGAATTATGGGAAAAGAGAAGGCTGTCAAATTCTATGAGTTTATTTATTTAAAATAAATTTTAAGAATTTCATTATTGGTTGCAGAACATCATTTTTTGAATGAAAGACTTAAATGTGTTTCAGATGTTCTTGTTTTAATAAATATCGTTAATTAACTGTCATTGTCATACCGTATAAAATACAACTGCATTATAATTTGTCCACTTCTCGGATTAAAATGTTTCATCTTCTCTCCAAATGTGTCTCACTTTGATATCAATTTCACTCACGGTTAAAATGCAAAATTTAATGAATCAAAAATGTGCAATAAATTTGCCTTAAAACTTCACTCGAAATTGCAACTTCAGTCTGTTCGCTAATGCACAAATGCAACAAAGTTGAAGTCTGAAAAATACGCCAGTCAACAAATTAGATTCATCAGCATTTACCCGACAACAAAATGCTTTGCACGAGGTTGCTATTTAATTATGTTGACCAACGATTGCGACTGATTGCAGACTCTCATTTCATATCAATGCAAAATCACCACAAAATGTCACATGTGAAAAGCTATTGTTGTATTTGCATGCGATGTGGGTGAGTTGAGTTCGTTTAAATGCAATTGTCACAAATAACTTTTTTCTGCAGTTGGGATTTTGACAGAATTTTGACGGCATTTTAATTACAGCTGAGTGAACAACAAAATTAATATGGTAAAAGGGAGAATTTAAGCTTCATTTGCATCTTAATCATCATTCGACTTGCTGAGATGTGAACTTGTTTATTTATGCTTCTCGCATTCCATGCAATCAATGTAAGATATTTTATGATGCCATTGACATTGAGCTGAGATATCAATGCATTAACCACAAGAGACCAAACAACTCTTTCTTTGACGCTTTTCACACATTTTTTTATGAAGTTTTTTAAATGTTACGAAAGCATCGTTGACAGAATGAAAACATTTACGGTTCGCATCTTAAAAGCAGCAAATTCTCTCTCCCTTTAAATGCCTACAATTGCAATCAATACACTAAAGAATTATTTTTTAACGATTGCGTACTTAATCTGCAGAAAGCAATGTCAATAAACACAGCAAATTATGATATTTAAAGTGACATGTTTTTTACGACTTGTCGTTTAATGTTTTTTCAAGTCTCGACATCGACTCGCAAGTTGCGATATCATTCGTGAATTCACTCTTCATAAAATTGTAAGAATTTCTTTGATTAATTCTCATCGTAGCTGAGTCAAAGTAGAAAATGAATGAAGCAACTCGCTTTTGATTAATCACGCTCCATTTTGTCGGCGATATCTTCATTAGTCGAAAACGAAACGAAAAACTCATCGTTCAAAAACGAAATAATATAAAAAAATTTCGTTGTAACAATGTCGAGTCATAAATTAAAATGTTATTCGGGAAGGTGCACAATTTATTACAACATCATTTCATTCCTCTCGTTTTGTTATTAACAAGAAACGTTTTCAGCCATTTCTCGGCTTTTATCGTGACGGCAAATGAAGACTTGGATCGAAAGAGAGTCAGCGGGGTTCTTATTCCTTTCGTTTCTCTTACTTTACCCGATTTTTTAATAAGAATGAATAATTATCGTCCATCAATCACGTTTTCTTTCGACTCTGCACCTAAAAAGAATTGAAATGAAATGAAATGTTCAAATCACCCTCCCCGATAAAACTTTGTTCTTCGTTTCTGCTTCACATCCTTTTCGTCATAAGCAGCCAGCCCTTTTTCCCTCTAAGCTCTCAAAATCCTCTTAACTTCATTCGTGTTCCTTTACAATTCAACAAAAATGTAATCAATCATTGTCAGAGCCGAGTTTGCTTGAACGTACATTTCAAGCACTGCCAGTGCTCGAAGGATTTTCCCATTGGATGTTGAACTTACAACCAATAACATGGAAGATTTTCAAACAGAAAAAGCAAACAGCAATGAGAGAAAGCGAAAAATCATTAATTTTAAAACCTTCAAAACTATGAAAGATTTATGGCGAATGGATAATGAAAGAGGTTATTGGATCAGACTTCGATTCATTCGTTTGCTTGTGATATTTCTTCTGGACACTCAACCGACTCATACTGGGGAAAGCAAAGGCAAAACAAGTGATGCAGTAGCAGCACTCACCAGTGGTTGAACTGTAAATGATTCGAGAAACACAACAATAGAAGAAGCCATGAAAACAAGCAATTGAAACAGAGCCAGAAAGGATTTTCCATGCCAGTGTTGTCCATTAAACATTTTATGAATTATAACTAAAAGTTGTCGCTTTGCACATGAATCTCTTTCTTTGTCTTTTGTTGCCATCAACTGAACCTTCGATTTATCGATTTTCTAACATTTTTGACTTCTTGGTTTCAAAATATTTGCTGATTAAAAGATTTTGGGAAACTTTCTCAAGTTTTTTTTCACAAAAGTCCGCCGAAATCAAACGAACGATAATCAGAAGGAACGGAATGCAAACGATTCTCAAATTTAATTGAGTCCCGAAATTCTGTAATTAAGAAACGAACGCTTGCTTTAAATTTGGTTCACTTTGAAATCTTCGCAAGATGCTTGTTTTCATGTTAATTCCATCTCTGCTCGCAATACCATGCAATACATCTCGAGAAGAATCTTATCTCGTCTTGAAATATCTTGAATAGCCAAGTCAAGTTGCATATTGAACAACGAAAGAATTCCGACGAAAATCCAAAGTTTATGTTGCATGTTCCGTGCTCCCTTTAACCATCTCTTGTCGACGATCTCAAAGCAGTGCCAAGATGTATGGTTTTAGGCTGAAAACGAAGACAAAGCAGAGGGAGAAGCGAAAAAATCTCGATGAAATTGACAGATGAATTGAAACAGAAAAAATGTTTATCATGAACACATTTCGGCTTGCCTGCCTGCCTTCTTCATTCCTTTTACAACAAAAGATTCTTTATTATAATTTATTTGAAATGCCAATAAAGTACAGAATTGAATTCGCTTTTTTCTGCTTCGTTCAAAATGCTGTAAATCGTCAACAACCCAAAAGCAAGTCCGAAAAGGACGTCGTTGAAACACAATTTAAATGCGATATGCGAATTTAAACGATCATCGAATATGTCGCTGACGACAAACAAAAGCAAAGAGGAGAAAAAGAGAAAGAAAGAGAAGTAGTAGACAAACAAAGAAAGCAGCAGTAAGCACACGAGAAACGACAGCATCAGAACCAATAACCGAGAAGTGAAGCGAAGTCTTTTGTTTTTATCAGACATCACGGACCCAGCAAAAATCTTAAATCTTTCTTTCCCCCCTTTCTTAGCCTCATTCTCGTCGTCGTTGTTGAAATGTATTTAGAAGTTCTTTAGAATAATATTCCAACTCGTTCGATGTAATAAGCGTATGCAAGCTGCAAACATAATGGACCAACATCAAACATAAATTTTCTGTTTCTTTTAAACGACTTTTTTTTCTTTGTTTTCGCTGAAATTATTTCACAATAAGCGCACAGCGTTCAGTAAATTGCAATAAATATCGCAGCATAAAACATTTCAGTCAATATCACATAATAATCGAGACAAAAAAAGGTAAAACGAACGAACTCAAAGGAATTTTCAAGATTTTCGTTCCTGCTTTGACTTTTTTTATTGTTCTTCTGCTGCTTCTGCTGCTGTTCCTGTTGTTGCTGATGTGTCCAATTAAATTCTTCAGCTTCTTGTTCATACATTCATTTGCTTAAAGTTATTTTCTTCAGGCTCCATAATCAGTCTAGAATCGGGCAGGGGAATTTAATGTAATATTATTGAGAGTAACGACGACGACGACAACAGCAAAAAAGGGATCATTAGCCTGAAGACAAGTTTTTGTTTGTTTATCGACATCGATTGAACGATTCATGTATTTTTAAATAACTTGGTGTCGATGTTGTTTATGTGCTTTGAGTGTAATTTAATCAAAGGCTTTTTTAATAAACGATGCCCACAAATGTCGAGTTTGAAAGTGGAAATTAATTTTGCACATTAACAAGTTCAAGGCTCTCGTCAAACTTGTCAAAATCAGATTTCAGTTTATTTTACGTAAGAAATTGTTCATGCATAAACTTAAAGCCAGAAGTCTTTCTACTGTTCGATTTGTATCAATTACATTTGAAAATTGTAAGCTTCAAGTTGCTGATCATTTAGATCTTAACTTCTTAAGTTGCAAATTGATACTTTCAAATATCAAAACGTCACGATGTTGTAGTGGAATGGAAATGTTGGTAAGTTGAAAATTATTTACGACGAGCTTTGGAAGTTACATGCAAACATATCATAAACATAATCGACAAGTTGAAGTGAATGCAGAAACCGCAAATAAGAAACGAATCACGGCATAAGCAGTTACAAAGTGAAATGAGAATTTCAGATTTTATATTTAGATCGAAGTAATTAATTAATTGGCATTGATTTTGTTTGATATGGCCCACGTGATTAAAATAAATATTGAAATAACGATATGACATTGACCTGTCCCTTGATTTGCATTTGACTATGATTTACTATCAGATCAAATCTCTTCAAATATTGTAAATCGTACGTCTCAGTACATTTATCTAATTAAGATAAAACTAATCTTAAAGTATTTAAAAACTAAGTAAAAAAATTTCAATTACCATACAGCAAGTCATGGCAGTTAATATTGTCTGGATCAATAATGCGTAATGTTTAATAACCCCTTGGATCAACAATGTTCTTTGTTTTCTTTAATCAACTGTTTTGTAGGATGAATTAACATTTTATCACCAAATCTTTTGGAGATAAGAAATTTCTATGCTGGTGCTTGACTCAAGATGAAGTTTGTAGTTTTCTCGAATTGACTTATTTTGAGTGACCTGACTTATCAAAGCAACATACTTGCCTTAAATGATCAAACCTATCGAATCAAATCCTGATTTCCGTAAACAGCATTAACAACACTTAAAACAAGAGAAAAATTCTTAGAAATATTGCCAAGTTTTATCCATCAAAGCATTTATTTCTGTTTTGTGTGTACAAAATATTCGTCTCAACAAGAGAAATTTAATTTCAAAATCATTCACAATTTTTTTAACGTGTCGATTAGTTTAGATAAAAAAATTCTATATCGAAAATCTTACACATTGGCTGAAACGATGATGCTGATCAACAACAAAATTTTAAGGTTTAACGCATTCATGCCTCAATCGTCTAAAATTGTGCGTGCCGAACTGAAAAGATATCAGAAAGAGTCTGGTAAAGAGTTTAAAGAAAATAAAAAAATCTTTGATGTCCCCAGCTAGAAGAACATTTGAAGTTAAAGACAAGCAACAGAATTTTTTATCTTTTTATTCAAAAAA